GAGTTGTTTATTGAGTTCTGAATATTAATTTACTTTTATTTCGGGAACTGTTTTTTTTTAATACTGCTTCGTTATGATTATTAAGGAAACGAAATTCTTTTATATCCTTAATAAATTATGAGGCATTTTTTTTTGTTTTTTTTTATGTTTAAATAAATATGTGTGTACGTCTAGACAGTATCCTATTGCACAGGGCGTCCATTACATTGTTATCTGAATAAATAATTAACTACTTTACATTCTGCTTACGTAACATCGAGGAACAACGAGGAACAGTGCAGATATTTTTCAAGTGACTCATTTTAATTCAAAGCTACGCGAAGTACTCATTGTAACTCAATATTGTTAAATATTGACGCTCTAATGAAAGGACTACTGTGAAATTAACTATATAATTATCATGTTAACAAGACACAGACATAATTGAAGAATGAGACGGAAATTTAACTTCTCTAGGAACATTGAATAAATGGATTCCCATAGGACTTTATTCTGGAAGCGTTTCATCAAACGCTCTTTGAGACGCCCGTTAAATATTTTAAGGGAACTTCTAATGACGCCTTTTGATATAGGGAATTTAATAGAATATAAATAAGCTTCGTTATTTTCCATGGTTAAAAGAATTATTGATCTAGTGAAGAGCGTTAGTAGAGAGTAAATTTAATATTAACGTATTTTAAATATTATATTGTAAGAACATTGTTCTCATCTTTTGTAGGTACGATCATACCAAAAAAGCTGCCAGCACAGATTATAAAATTTTTTTTTTCATTACTTCAAAAATTCTGTTATAATAAAACGGATATGCACGACGAGAATTGTGTATTTTTGTACTTTCAAAACGGTACACTACCGCGGCTTTTGATGTTACATTCTTATCCGTCATTCATCTGCCTCTTTAGTAATTTTTTTTTTAAGTTTTTACAGCGAATTTCTATCGTAATTCCAACGTAATAATAATTTATACAAAATAAAAAATATCCAAATTTACACTGCTGAGAAATCATCATGACATTACAATAATTTCCCCAATTCTGATAAATTAGATTACCATTTTAAATATTTGAAATGCCTTACTATTGATCCTATCCAATTATTTTGAAATGTTTGTACAATTTACTGTGTTATTTTTTGTTTTACCTTAATACCTGCAGAGTATGGATTTAGAATATTCAACAGCAAACTTATTATGATAACTACCAAGTGTTGTATTAATGCCAACTCATAAATAATAACACCATCAAATATGATTATTAAAACAGACGAGCTCAAGCTTCCTCCTGAGTCATACTATAAAATATATGCAAATTTGACATTGCATTGTCCTGTAGATCGATTATGGGGTAGCCTCCCAAAATAAAGGTTAGAATGTGAATCTAATGCACTAACGTCTTAAATATTCAAATAATACAACCAATTGAGCAATGATAATTTTATTGAAGCTTGATGTGCATATTAAAAGATTAACTACCGAGATCAAGATTAGCATATATATGTATTCTTGTCGCCATTTTCTTATCTCTGCAAAAAAAAACTTACTTGTGAAACTTCTGAGATGGATACAGATTCAGTTCACTTTATCAATTTGAGGTTCTTAGAGCTATAATTATACAGCATGTATAAAGTTTATATGTGTTTAGTTTTTAATACACAGAAGTTTTATTCCCTACCTTAGATAACTAAACATTCTTCTACGTAATGACGCCCCTCTCCGACAAAGTCAAATACATTTACTTCCCCAGCGTATTGTTTTATATATTGCACTTTGTTTTGTAACACATTAACACTTTATAAATAATAATTTCACTATAAAATCAAAAATTCATCTTCTTTTTTAATTATTGGCGTTGCCCTTGTGGATTTCGCCATAATCCAGTGTAACTATGACTTCAAATGCACGAGAAAAACCTTCTAGATGACGTTAAAGACTAGAGGACGTGAGATCAAAGGTCATGATAAAAATATGCTTGCTGAGACTTCGGAACATGAAAGTCCTGCCCCCTTACTTTCGAACGCAAATGTGACCGTTCGACATTGCAATTGTACTGCCGCTGCGCACTCTTGATTGGTTCACTAGTATACTTTGCCGCTAGTGTATCCAATCTAGAATACGAAACGGCACAATTGCAATGTCGATCGGTCGCGATTGCTTTCGAGAGTAAGGGGGCTGTTCAATGTGCATAAAATATGTTATTTTTTGTCCATTAAAGGCTTGTAGGATGACAAAACATCAATGCATGAAATTCTAAATTGTCTTAAGTGGGCCGCACAATAATGAAACGAGTAGTAGTTGCATGGAATAATGATTTATTGTTATATCGACGCTTGAGAACTTCGTTTCAAAATTACTTGTAGCTAGTATTAGTTAAAATATTTGCGTATGTTTATGCAGCTGACTGTAATATAGATGGTATTGGCGAACGTAATAATATAGATTAAAAACTATAATTAAACAAAAAACTCTTTGTTTTATTAAATTTTCAAACGAGTAATTAGGTGTTCTCTGTAGGTAGGTGGTATTTCCATACAATAATTACGATACGTAACTTAGGTAGTATAGGTATTTTCTCATAAATCCTTATTCATTGCGAATTTGAAGCAATCGATTAAAGGAAACGATGCGTAAATTAACCATGAAAAGAACTGCATTAAAAAGTGAAAATCACCTAAAGTGTAGATAGATGGTCTTGGTTCTTAAGCATTGATATGTATTTGAAATCAGTTCTTATTAAATCAAACTATTATCTACGAATATAGTTTAGTTATCTAGGGTGAAGATAACTTTAGCAGTTTTTGAAATTAATACAGTAACTTTGAAACTTGGAAAGAAACCATTGAAACAAGACTCATCGACTAAGGCTTTAGTTAAGTCAACAGTACCTAATACTTTTAAATAAAAAATTGATTACAGTAATTTAACATTAAATATGAAATATGTACAAACTAAAGAATTAATTTAATAGTGTGTTATTCTACACACGTCAATCCTGACAAGATATAGGTGAAATTAAAACTACAAGATTAAATTTTAAAACTGTAATTTATATTGCACAAAACCAACACATATTAAGCAAATAGGTATAGGTATGTTGCAGTATTAAGATAGTATAAAACCAGTCATATTCCATGAATTTTAAATAAATCTTAAAACCAGTTATTTATCAGTGCGTATGACATACATGGTTAAAGTAATTCTGTGGCTGATTAATTTCATTTAATTACCTTTGACTACATTCATCAAGCAATAGTGTACATCAAAATAGATAAATATATAAAGAATATATTTGTTGTTATTTGATCAAACTATTTCTCTTAGAGTGCTCAGCATAATAACATTGAATAGTATTAATGTGACTTATCAAATGATGCCACCATTTTAGGGGAATATTTTGGGAACAATGACATAAATTTTCTGTTAGAAGATTCGTGATACAATTTATCACATTTTAAAATATTTCATATGGTTATGTTAGGATTGCTGTTTTAATGTTGAATGGATAATTTTAATATAATTTTCTTTTTTTGGAAAATTATTAACAAACTTTTTTCTTTTTTTTTACATGTAAATGCTGTTTGTATTTACTTAATTAATGCAACATACCACAGTAACCAATTTTTATTTTTAAAAGTTCATATATTCATAATAATTTCATCTAAGCCTCTCCACAAAACAAGTAATGTGTTAATAGTCAGGATATGGTGTCAATAGTATACTAACACTACATTAAATTAAAAAAAGTAATTTTAATTAAGGTGGGTTTGTTTTAATGTTATTCTATAGTACGAAAATTAAAAGTTATTTTTAGGTTGACACGATTAAACCTACATTTAGTCCAGTTTGGGCCATTATACTTAAAATTGGTATATTTTATCAAAAACTATATTACAAATATGATTTATTAGACAATGCTATTACTATAAAACCATGCTATTTAGCAATTTTAGCACACAAAGATAAGTAGCAACATAACTACATGTGTCCTTCACATAAATACATACACTTGGTAAGACCTAATTCTACAAAATATGATAGCTTTCATACTCATATTATAAAGAGGTATAGTTTTCTACCTTTGTTTGTAAAGGGTAATCTTCAGATATACTGCTTTGATCATGAAAATTCTTTCACCATACAGAAAGCTACATCATATGCAAGTTATATAGGCTACCTATAATGTATGAATAAAAACAGCTAGACTTACTTATAAAGTTTTGCTTATTAATAAATCAATTAAAAATAGTAACAACAAACAAAATAGTGTTTTATAGTTATGAGACCAGTGTCCTAAAAAGTGGGAAAATAGTCCTCTAGTAATAGTTAGTACATCACCATTTTTTTAATTCTTTAAAAAGACTAGATGTTGTTTACTTTAATTTTAATTAGATAGAAACAGTGGCTATTATCATTCTTATAAATGATGTTATAAAACACCTAAAAGTAATCTTATTACAACTATGAATATTATTATTATTCAAGATTTTCCTCCATATGGGAAATTATATTACTTATTGTATTTATGATACCTTAGACTTATACTAGCTCAGACTTATTTTTACGAAATGTTGGAACAGAACTAACTGTCCTCCTCTCCAAATTAAAACCAATTCTAGAAATTGTGACGATAGTGACCAACGAATTGGGTGAATCAGTCGCAAAAAGCGGCATGATGTTATAATACCGTGGTCCTAAGTGTGTTGTGCAGCATGCAGGCTCGAAGTCGTCAAGCCGGTTCTTAACACCCACACAGGCTGAGCAATCCCAACGCATGTAACCAATACGGGAATTTTTCGAAAGTAATAGGTATCGAAAGATGGACCACCTATGTATTGAAAATAATATTTTTATTGTTCTTATACCAAAAAGCTCAGGCCTATGTTAAAATAGAAACGCAAAACGTGCTAATCATCAAATACATATCCTGAATTCGTTGGTATATGTAATCCGAAACCCGTGGTTATGAACGGACGTGAAAAATAAACAGCAAAAGAAAATCACGCACCTTCATTGTCGTTGTTTCCCTCGACGTTCTGCAACGAAGCCACCAGAACTCCGACGCACAGAACGCTCAAAAATCTCAGAATCATTATAACTGATCAAATACCAACACTGAGTTCACTGTCTTATCGAAAAATAACAAAATATTACACACTCGACATAATCAAAACGATGACACTCGCACAACAGACCACCTATCGGTCTTTCGCATAGAAATAATATGGCGGCGAGAGGATGGATGACAAATTCATCGATTGCCTGTTCTTTTTTTTTAAATTTTCAAATGACGTTCAGAGGGACTGTTTCGAACATTATAAAAACATTTAAACTAATATTTATTTTTATGATGCCGCCTTAATTTAGCCTGGTAGGTAGGCAAGTCTGTGATCCATAGGGATTCACACACAGGTGAGTGGTGAAACCTATGTGTCACCACCAATATCATCAACACACTTTGAATTTGAGCGAAGCAGTGCGTTGTTTCCATGTCTCTTCCCTCACTAAAGCCGAAATATAACTACGATTGAAGCTTCTATGTTGACCGAACCAGTGTCTCACTTTGGTATCTATAGTTGAGAATAGTAATTAATTCACAATATTTCATATCTTAAGCAGATATTTTTATCTACTATTGATAGTTAGAATATCATTATAAATATTATCAGTTCTTACTTCATAAAATTCTAGTCTATTGGTTCAAAATATTAGCTTATAAGTATATATAACTTACGACATTTTCTCAATTTATTACTTTTCTCGACTAAAGATACGAGTTGGATGCCATAAACAAACTAATTTTACGCGTCCCGTAATTGGTTTAATGTTCACTTATTTTCTTTTTTTTTTAACGTAGAATTGTGTGAACAGAGTAGAAAAACGAAAGGTAATGATTTTTTTGTTATATTTTTAATTTTTTTATGAGGAAGTATTAAAAAAGGAAAGCACTAAAAAAGTACATCCACTAGATGGCGACTCTAACAAAAGTTGATTTTTGCAAGAAACGAATGTACCAAAAACAGTCATTTCCGTTCCTCTACAAATAGAATATGAGTTGTTGTTGAGTTTTGAATACTAATTTACTTTTAAACACGAAAGAAAACCGGAGAATTCAAGAATATACCGTAGCGACATCTAGTTTCATTTCGGGAACTAATTTTTTTTAATAATTCCTCATTATTACACCAGCATTTCTTCTTGATTGTAAGGCAAATAGTAATGTAATAAATAAGGGACTTTTATTACGAAGAAAGTTTAAAAAGTAACAAACAATGTAAAGTATAGAATTAAAACCAACGCCCATGAAGACTGTAGATATTTTTGAGTTAACATTTTCCTTTTTTTAAACTGTCTTTGTAAATACACTTGACTCATCAAAATTGCCATAGAAAAAAAACATTTGACGTATTTTGAAGCAATTTTGTAAATGTTCCAAAAATTTATTTCAATCACATAAAATATTATTTTTTGCAGATTGATTTTTAATTTACACTACACTTAATGGCATGACTATAAGCCTTAAAAAACTCTTGATGGGTCACTTTATAAAAAAAATCTGTGACTGAAACTATAAATTATAATAATACTCAAAAAGTAAAGTATATATTATATAAATATCATGTTCAAAGGTTAAGCAAAACTTCATGTTTTCTTGCCCAATAAAAACTGCTTTAGAATCATATCGAAACACGGTGATTTCCGTATAGATGATGGCAATGGTGGTAAATAATATTTTATACTGGCAACTTGAGTTTCGAAAGTTCAATTTCGCATGGCGGACGTGCAAGTAGGTTCTGTTATTTGTTGGTGATAAAATTTCAATAATTATATCATTGTGTGTCCCTATGGAAAGAGTAATTCAGATGCTTCTATTTCTTTGTGGACGTGCTTTATTTATTCCTTAACGTTAGACGATGTTATATAGTTGTTTATAGTTGCATTGTGTGAACTGCAGTTAATTTTTGTTAAAAATGGGAAAATGTGACGAAGCCAATGTCGAAGTTAGTATGGGGGACTCGGCGTCCCCCATGAAACCTGATAATTTCACGTTTACTGTGCCCCCGGAGGCTCCTGTCTTCGAACCAACACCAGAGGAGTTCCTGGATCCACTGGCTTACATCAGTAAAATAAGACCCATCGCTGAGAAGTCCGGGATATGCAAGATAAAACCACCAGCGGTGAGTGAAGTCCTTTGTTTCTTAATAGCAATTATAATTGTTTTCACCACAATTGTTCGTTTGTAAGACATAATATTGCGTTGCATTGTACTTTTCTAACCCTAAAATCATTCGAAAATTACGTGTGATGCAACCATATTACTCAGTGTTTAGCACTCGCGTGCTATCTAAATTTCTAATTTAGGATTTAATCTTGAATAATACGTGTCTAACTACCCTTGAGTGTGTTTGGTCTAATGCAATTGCATATCAATTAAGTTTTATATGGATGCAATATTGTATGATTCTGGTTGCCATTTTGTGTCGTGCCCTCCTGCCTACGATACTTTAGATAAAAAAGAACTATCGTCAGTTTTTGTTGCTATCTAACTGTTAAATTTACTGTAGCCACTGAATGAACACAAATTTTTAGTAAAATTTAAAAGTTTTCCAAGATAGAGCCTTTGTGACATTCTTTGAGTCCACAGTGCACAAGTTATGTTCAATTGTAATTTTAATATAGATATGAAGTGTTAGACTGTAAAGACATAATTTTAGCTTGACCTCAATGATACATGATTAAAATTAAAATGTATTTTTTTAATGACTTACATAATTATGAAGCCTGATATTCTCAGGTTTACCTTATGCATACCTCCAATTTATATGCCTATGGATTACTAAATGTAAAAAAAAAAATACATTTTAATTTGTGTGGAGTTATGACAATGTCCAATTTATGAGTGTTGATATATCCAATTTTATAAAGTAACAGTGACTGTACTAAAAATTAAAATAAATAAATTATCTTTGAATTCTAATTTTTATATTAATCTTTAGAGAAATACTTAAAAGCATTGCCAGTCCATATGCCTAACATGGGATTCAAGACTATTACAATTTACAATGCAGACCTAAAATTAGGTTATTCTATTGAAAACTATTAGCATGTATTTACACCTATTTATATAATCAAATTAAATGCATTTATTTGATACACTCATAAGCAATAAAATAGATATAGTATAAGAATACCAGAGATACTCTAAACAACATCATACCAAAATGAAATATGTGTCTATTCCACAATCATATCCAAAGGGCTCACTATGTGTCAATCACTTTTTCTTCTTTAAAAGGAAAAATAATAGAAGATATCACACACAAGATATAAGGCCTAGGTCAATCAACTACTTACCGATGTTGATATTTTTTTAATATCCTATTAAGATTACTGTTTCAAGGTAAACAAGGAAATCTTTAAACCTCCTATTGGTATTTCATCCAATCTAATATGCTTGAAAGTATGTTAATACTTTCAAGCTTTTTCAAAAGTCAAGTCTCTTTCATTATAATACCTAGGCGAAATTATCATTTAAAATATAATTAAGCTAGCAGCTATTAATAAAAAAGTTTTTGTGTTACTGTAAATTTACACTGAGACTGCACTAAGTATTAGTCACAATTCATATTATTAAACAGACTTAGCAAAGGTTAACCTAGTATGAGGTTTTACAGGACTAATACTAAAATTGCAATTTTAGTTTCTCTCACTCTTATGCAAAACCTTGTTTATTAATAGCACAGTAAAAGCATGAGTTTGTCAAATGAGAAAAATATTTTACATCAATAATTGTGGGGATTACCAGATTTTCTGTTAGTGAATTATTAGAAATCTCTTAAATAACCACTTTTTTTTTAAAATTAGGAAGTATGAAAATATAGGACATAATATACATTGCTGAAATTCCAAATTAGGTGGGAGAACCCACTGAACACAGAAAAAGGAGAAACCAATTGAAACATGAATGAAGCACTGGAAGACATTAGGCAATATTTTGTAAAAGTGAATTTTCTATATTGCCATGAAGAATGAAACCTGAGACACCAGATATGGTGATACCAACCAGCAAATTCTAATCAAATATATGTCTTTTGTTTGAATGTTAGTGTTTTTGAAGTCACACAACACTAAATTAGTTTTAGACTCCAAGCTTAAAATAACATAGACAACTTTGTAATTTACATAGTGAAAAAAGTTAAAACATACAAAAAAAAAGCAAAGCTAGTGGTGTGGGTATAATAATCGAAAATTATTCTCTTTATGATCAACAGTCTTGTTGCAAGTCAAATGCAGTTAACTAATATGTTATATCAGAGTTACCAACTTATTCACACATTTCTTTTTCACAAAAACATTTACTAGAGTCCTCCTACATTATAATTTTTAAATGACAATTTGTATTTTTTGCCCTAAAATTATTTGTTACTATTATTAAAATAGGAACAAATTATTGAACACATGTGATATTATGCAAAATTAAGGTGTCTAAATGTATTACAAAAATTATAGTTATCAATTAAGAATAAGACTTACCTATACAATAGTTATTTTTCCTAACAGAAAAAATTGTTACAGCATTGGCAGCCACCATTCGCTGTGGACGTAGATCGTCTCCGATTCACACCAAGAATCCAGCGCCTCAATGAACTGGAGGTAAGTCTTAATTCTGACACTCAATAATAATTCTTGTTTTTTTTATTTGGTCATATGCGAGTTAGGCTTCAGTTAAGATAAATGTCAACAGTTGTTTTTGTAATTGCTTTTGTTGCAATTGTGATTGTTAATCACTACATTGAAATTACTTAAAATTACTTCATTGATGATTTAATGTGGAAAGGCATATCGGTCATATTCATGGCTTACTTTTTAAAATGCCTGTTCCATCTAAATCTAACATAATAAATAGATACAGTTGTTAAAGAATCACAGAGAGTGCTCACTCTATAAATATTATTCTTGTGCAGGCTATAACTCGAGTGAAGTTGAACTTTCTCGATCAAATAATCAAGTTTTGGGAGTTGCAAGGGTCTGTCCTCAAGATACCAACGGTAGAGAGGAAGCCATTAGACCTGTATGCTCTACACAAAATAGTTCAAGAAGCAGGTTAGTACAATTGCGTCATTGAAAACTAGAAGTGGTTAGGATTTTGTTGTATATACACATACCTAACATTATTTTATTGCCATCTTGGATACAATGATTTTAAGGGAATGGTTTATTTTTAAATATTGTTATAATTGTTAAAATGTTTATTATATCCAACAGTTTTAGTAAGTATACTTTGTATTGTTTTATCCAGGAGGTTTTGAAGTATGCTCTGCAGAACGCAAGTGGTCAAAGATTGCACGACGAATGGGCTTCCCCCAGGGTAAAGGCATCGGTTCCATCCTCAAGAATCATTACGAGCGAATCCTATATCCATATGACGTATTCAAAAACAGTGGTGTTGTCGGTGACAACAAGGAAACTGTGAGTGGTGGTTTTTTTATTATCTGTTGTTAATATTATGAAAAGTTAAAGGACACAAATATTTGTATTGATAAATTACTGCAAAAGTTGTGTTTAATTATATGAATTTGCGCATAGTGCTCTCATCCTATTTATTGACGTAGACTTACATGTTCTGATGATAATGAATATAATATTATTAAAAGTTGTATAATTTTTTAACTTGATTCAGAGTTGATGATTTACTTTCAGGTTTTGCATTATATCAATTACTCTTTGTATAGATATGATAGCAGATATGTTGTATTATGTCATTATCAATTTATCTAGTAATATGATAAGCTTTTTTCTAATACAATTAATAGTCAGTAGGAAATATAATAAAATCACATTCATTGCACAGATTCTAAGTTAAAATTTAAAATAATAAAAGTTCCAGAATCATATAGATTGAAAATGTAATGATGTTAACATAATAAAACATCGGTTCGTTCTCATATAAACAGTGGATGCTCCCCATGCCAAGCTTATATTCTGTTTTGATAGAAAATCGAAGTGAAAGGCGAGCAAACACCGGAGAAGGCGAACACTACCGGTCGTAGTCGCACGACTAGCAAGTGCACCCCGAGCGCGGCGGCCACGCCCCCACCGGCGCGCCGTTACAAACCGTCGGAGCCCGAGGCTGCAGCGGAGCCCCAGGACATCAAGCCGCCGCTGCACCTCACTCCTGTCAAGGAGGAGAGCCCCGAGACGCGCAGAAGTCAGTATATTTGTTACTAACTTTAGGCCATGGCTTCGCCTGAGTGGAATGTAGTTATTATCGCCCTTCGACTTTTCACCCCCTAACTGAACCCCTTTATATATAGCTTATTTTTCGTGATTAAAACAATACTGTATCTTTTCTGAAGGTCCCACTCTATATATGAACCAAATTTCATTAAAATTGGCTTAGTAGTTTAGGCGTGTTAAAAGTGGTTTAGTGGTAAAGACACATTGAAAGTTACTTTTGCATTTATTATATTAGTAAGGATTATCATCTAAATTTCCGGTATTATTATATTATTTATAAAATTTCGTCCAATTAACATTCCTTGATTTCAGTAAAGTGTGTTGGCGTATCAAAATAACTAAATTAGAAATACATAAAAGGGAAACCTTTTTAATTCAAACAAAAAATATAGCTACATTGATAACATTGTTATGAATAATTCAGTGTAAATGAATATCAACATTTTCATTGATAAAATTCAATTATTAAGAAGGGATGCACAGAATGTTTAAACTTATTTTTTGTCTATCTTATTGTGCTGGAGATAGAAAGGGGTAAATGATAGTGAATTAACTTGCAAAAACTGTTTTAGTTAGTGAGTAACTCAGTAACTTATATGTTTGTCAGTTTTTCATATAAAAAAGTATAATTACTTCATTAAATGAAAGAATGGTCAGTTCTTGGGATAAATTCAATAAATTAACAGAAGTCTTAGGAGTATGATGTAGTTTTATCTTTTTTAATAATATCATATTTGCACTTTACTTCTTTATACAAAACCTTAAATGAAATTAAATGATTTGGGCTAAATAGATACATGCTCTCTTAAATGGTACAGTAAGATATAACTGAGGTAAGTCTAAATTGTGAAGTGCGGCAAATGTACAAAAAAGAACAATTCAAGTAAAAAAATCAGATGATCCATTAATAACCACCTGACCCATGCTTAGTGTGAGTGAAACGAACACCTTATATATTATATTTCACAACTTATATATTATATTTTACAACTTATCAGTATTGAAACAAGACTCACTATAAATTATAATGGCCAAACCCATTGTCGGGGTTGGTAGGTCTGCTCTATACAAATGAAGCTTCATTATGTGCCTCGTTAGTTAGAGCTTACTTAATATCAGGGATATCATGCGAGTCAAATATGAACTTAGGAGCGTAAGTTGTTAAAAAAAATGACTAGCTTTTTGCCCGCGTATGATACATATAAATCTTCCTCTTGAATCATTCTGTAAATTTATGAAAACCACATTTTAAATCCGCCTTGTAGTTTTTAAACTCAAGGCGCGGTGCAGGGGCGGAAATGTTCATTTTGCGACAACTCATTAGTTATTAGTTTTTTCATATTGTGTAAAGCACACGTGTAAAGGCAATTATGATCTACATTAAATGCATAACGTATTAATTCATTATATTTGTTATATTTAAAAGCAAAAAATAGTTATTGTGGGTTATCCTTGGATGGATATAACATCGCGAATTTTTTTTGTAGATCTATTATAGACGTACGATCTCACCACACATTGTTTTGTTATAACTCAAAAAGGGTTTGGCAGTGTTTTCGAGGAATCCGCTTAATGTTTTCCGACATTTTGAACTAATAACGACGTAATATCGTTAGTTTGCACAAAACCTAAACTTATTATATACTTAAATCTTCCTCAGGGATCACTCTCCCTGTTATTGAAAATTGTATGAAAATTTGTCCAGTACTTTTTGAGTTATTCGCGAACAGACAGACGCGGCGGGGGATTTTGTTTTATAATATGTAGTGATGCATTTTTTATCTCGGCATATTGATATTTCTTATTGAACCTGAAGTCAAAAAAGTCTTCTCAGCAATAAATACAGATCCAATAATTTAAAGTAACACGAATCCAAAAAACTAGATATTTTTTGGATTCGTGTTACTTTAAATTATTTGGGTTTTTTTTTTCTTTACTGTCAGTATTAAATTGATAGCTATGAAGTTGGTGGCTAACCAGATCCTATTTTTATTTGCTCGCATAGTATCTGTAGAAATGTGCGTAATGTGCGAGTGGTGTCTGGTAGGTCCCCGTGAGAATAAGTGGATGTCAGCGGGGGCGGCATGCGGGGGAAGGGCTCGCGTGACACGGTCCACGCGGCTGCGGGAGCACCGCATGTCCAATATGACCGTCTCTGTCACACCTGCGCCACAACCCGCACTCGCACCACGGACCGACGACCCGGTATGTTATTCCTACTTAAACTAGTACTCTCGTATCTTACAACTACTCTTCAACTTTCTTTTATTTTGAAAATTATATTTATTCATTTTAGTAGTAGGGTACATGACTGTTTTGGGAAAAGTGTTTTATTATATATTTTTATTAATTAATTTAAATCGTCTCGTGAGAACAGTCGCGTGACATTTTGAACCATTACGTCACATTACAATAAATATGAGTGCTGGTGCACGCGCAACAGGGACGTTGACGTTTACTTTTATGAAATTTGGTGTCACACGATGTTTTTACATGGTCGCCGGCGTTTTGGTTTTTGTAATTCACAGATTATAAGTTAATTTTGCAAAAATTAAATATAATTATAATTATTATCACAAAATATTTAGATATTGTTTACATATAGCAAAGTTACCATTGCCAAAATATTACATAATTTCATGCTTAAAACTGTCAAGTAGCCAATTCTAAATGATACTTTTATAATAGGAACTTAAATCTTTTCTAATCTATTACAAACACATTTCAACATTTCTTATGCAACAGGGAACACTTATTTTACTAGCAGAACCATCACTACTACTATCGTCAATATTGTTATCCGCGACTACTAAATGTTACATGTTTAAATATAGGCATCTTGGTATTGAGGTTTAAATCGGCATTATCCTGTCAACTGCTTTCCTCCTTAATCTAGGATTGCCAAGTACAACTTTTAAAATCTCTTCACTTTTAAATTCGATTCAGTTTGACTGTGAACATAGAATTCTCGCAGATAATTATTAAAATAAGGTTATTATTAAAGAACATTTCAAATTGATAGTATTTATTAAATTTCTGTACCTAAATAATGCTAAGTACGCCCATGAATTGAACAACAAACATTAAATGAGTGTTAGAGAGTAACCATGCAGTCTGGATTATCGTTCTAACTTGATGTGATCAGTTGGCGAAGTATATGTGCCACGTGTGCGGGCGCGGTGACATAGAGGAGCAAATGTTATTGTGCGACGGCTGCGATGACTCTTACCACACGTTCTGTCTGGTACCTCCACTTGCTGATGTGCCTAAAGGCGACTGGCGCTGTCCGGTTTGCATCGCTGAAGAGGTAAATATATCCTATCAATTTCCATACAGCTATATTTTGTATACCTTCTAGACAACAGACTCAGATATAAATGTTCTGCCTGCAATAAAGTTAAAGATGGTACATTTGCTGTTGGAGTGTATTTGAAACAAAGATGAGTAGGAGTCGTTTATTAAATCATTGATTTAAACTATTTTAGCAAAACTTTAGTCTTTTCCAGCACGAAAATTATGTAAATTACTTATAAATTTAAGATAACCTTAATATTGTTAACACACTCTAGTGGAATGTCGTCATAAAATTAGTTTAATTTTTAATAAATAAGTATTTTATGATGAGGTTTACGTGTTTAAATGGATAAAGACTTCTAAATCAAATAAATAATAAAAAAGTAAGAAATAAAAAAACGATTGTAAACAATTAAACAAACTTAAAAGTAATCGTAATAAAGAGAAACAACTAAAAAAGAGAAAAAGAGATAGAATTTTTCACCTTCAATAAAATCGAAACAAAAAGTAGATATACCAATAATTTTCTTTTGAGATCAGTGCCAGATTCTCTAAGCTCATAGGAAACTTATCAATAGTAGTATTGAACAATATACAATTGTATGAAACAGGTATCAAAACCGACGGAGGCGTTCGGTTTTGAGCAGGCCTCACGTGAATACACTCTGCAACAGTTCGGCGAGATGGCGGACCAGTTCAAATCTGATTATTTCAACATGCCTGTACATGTTAGTATATATATTTTTTCTTTACTTAATTTTCTGTGTATAAGAGTTGATTCACTTGATTTTAAACCTTAATGTCTTAAGATTAGAGTTTAAAATCAACTAAAGAAATTTTACATAATGTGGTAACCTGTCGTGCAGCCGTGTAATATAGTGGACTATATGCTTTTTGATTGTAAAACTAAACTTTACCAATTGTGTTTTTCTATAATTTATGGTGTACAATAAAGAATTTATTCATTCATTCATTTGACAAATGTCACTATTTATAAAAAAATATTGAACAGATGGTGCCCACATCAACTGTTGAGAAAGAATTTTGGCGCGTAGTCTCATCCATAGATGAAGATGTCACCGTAGAGTACGGAGCTGATCTACACTCCATGGACCATGGATCTGGTAAGTTGACTGAAAAACAAATAATACATTATCTATTTGTGCAAATAATTTTTATGCATATTAACACTGTAAACTAGATTTGATAAAAGTAACTAGTTAATTATTTGATGTGTTACCATATATTAAAAGCATTATAATTTAAAATGTTACCTTATGTAAAAATATAATGAAATGATCACTGTTATAGCTAATAATGTTGACTAATGAGAAAAATATTGTTCGATTGTTTCATAGGGTTCCCTACGAAGTCCAGTGCGCATCTGTACCCTGGTGAACAACAATACGCTGAATCCAGTTGGAACCTCAATAATTTGCCTGTCCTTGAGGGGTCTGTGCTTGGTCATATCAACGCTGACATATCTGGAATGAAGGCGAGTTTTAAATAATTTTTTTTTTAATTGAAAGAGATATAGAAAGTGTCAATATAAGACAGAAAATTTAAATGAATGTATTCCTGCAAGTCTACTGCGTAACTGGAACTGTCAGGATAGATCAACAGGCAGCAGACCAATGATTGGTCTGTCCAATCCTAGTTGAATCTTGTTTGGTCTACAGTGACAGTTGACTTGTCAACCTGACAGATCATTCAGGGCTTCATTAAGGGAATTATATCATTCAGGGTTGTAGAGAGCTTAAGCCACGTTAGACATGTACAACGCAAATTACATAATGAAAAATGCTCTAAAAATCCACTTGCCCAAGTTTATAGATGTGCTGCTCTAAACTCTAATTTCCTTTAAGATAGAAGAGTCATATTCTATTGAGATTGAACTCGGCGAAAGCTTACACCATATTGAGTTTAAACTTAAACTGTATATGTTAAATATCGTAGTTTATAAAAGTATGTATATCATGTAATATATTCTATTTGTAGATCCCCTGGTTGTATGTGGGCATGTGTTTCGCAACATTTTGCTGGCACAATGAAGATCACTGGAGTTATTCTATCAATTATCTACATTGGGGAGAACCAAAGACATGGTAAGTTTAAAATAGTAGCTTATTGATTTTACATGTGTTGTTGATTCCTTATATTTTCACACGCACAAATATGAAATAACTTTTAAACTGTTTCATCGCGTTTATATTTACATGTACTATAGTATTGTTCATTTCATTTAATATAGATATGTCAAGCTGCATTCTTGATTATTTAGTTCATTAAAATGTGTTTATATTATGCTTTATTGGATGCCATTTTTATTTTAGTTTTAAACGGACATCAAACTAATCTAACTTATAGAATTGCTAAAAGTAACAGAAATTTCAACAGTTGAGTGTGCATTGAATCTTGAATTTTGTTATTAACATAGGTTTTGCAAACGCACATATTTTTCTGTTATCTTATTTTTGCAATGTTTGATTTGATTAATTTTATTTAGGGACTTTGAAAAGATGTCCGTCCCATCATAGCCTATGTCTATTAATTTATTTAAAAAAAAATTATGACGCTAGTTTTTTTTTTACTGTATTATATAATCATGGTTTTTAACGCCCACTGACACTGCCGCCGAGGCAAGTGTCACTTGCATCACCCTTGTTCCAGTGCTGTTTGTAGTGTTTGAAAAAATATTAAACATCATAACATAAGTTTCTTAATGAAATAGCATTTAATATTTAATTTAGTCAGCTGAGGTTAAGCTACTTTCAAAGGCGGTAATCGGATTAGTGACCAAATTCTCATTCCTGCTTCGGTACGCATTAATGTATTAATGCCGGCTGCGTCTTCAGGATCAGAGACTGATCTGCATTAGGCCCGTCCATCGTTCAGTGAGATTTTATTCATAAACAAAGTTATTCTCCATTTGTGGACACAACTTTGTCTATTAGGAGTTTAATTGTAATGTTACATATATAGGTACGGAGTGCCGAGCTGCAAGGCGGAACAGTTCGAAGCGGCCATGAAGGCTGAGGCGCCGGAGCTGTTCCAGCTGCAGCCCGACCTGCTGCACCAGCTCGTCACCATCATGAACCCTAACATACTAATGAAGGCCGGCGTGCCTGTCTACAGGTAACAAACAAACTACATATTCTAATTTGAATATTGCTAAAATTCCAAGAAGTAAAAGTAAAAATACTAAAATTACGGGAATCTGAAACAAACACGATACATAACCGCTCAGACCCAAGATATTATGTGTGAAAATGTTTCTTGTGTATATTGATACGATCGAGAATCGAACCAAGGATTGCGATCTCGCTTTGTTCTCGCTTCGCACAAAATTTTTATCAGCATACAAGCAATTCAGTAGTCCGTAACATAACTCTCTTGAATAGTGGAATATTATTTTTCCTTACCAAACTGTAAACGTTTCTACTATAATTTACTAAAGTGTAATCTGTTTTTCGTTTTATTTAGAACTGACCAGCATGCGGGTGAATTCGTGATTACTTTTCCTCGTGCATACCACGCCGGATTCAATCAGGGCTATAATTTTGCTGAAGCTGTGAATTTCACTCCTGCTGATTGGGTATGCAACTTTTAACATTACAGTTTTTATTCATAAAAAAAAAAATCTAATTTGAAATATTTACAGTTCTTTAGAAGATTAACTTTTTATTGGTAAAGAAAATCTATTTTATTGTTATCGAATTTTATCATCTAAAATGCATCATTAATTTAAATTATGAATATTATCTTTATAGAAACTTTTTGTTGTTTGTTTGTCACACAATTGAATTTGTGCCTTGTGCCAGTTGAAAATGGGTCGAGAATGCATCGCCCACTACTCGACGTTGCGACGATACTGCGTGTTTTCCCATGACGAGCTTGTGTGCAAGATGGCGCTAGAAGCTGACTCGTTGAGTGTTACCGTCGCGTTGGCCGCATACAGAGATATGAGGACAATGTTACACGACGAAAGGAAGCTAAGAAAAGGACTCCTCGATTGGGTGAGTGAAATGGGGAAATTATTGTATCTGTAATTAGCGGTTCTCCCGCGATTTCGCCTGCGTTATATCACCCGCGTATGAAGTATCTTCCCGTAAGTGAAAAATTATATGGTCGCATCATTACTTTCGAAGATTACCCCTACAAACAAATAAGTAACTTTACCTCTTTTATTATTACTTTGATGGATGATCGATGCTATGACGATACGATCCTACCAGTTGTTAATATTAGTCGGCATGGAAAGGCATGGCCCAACCACCTTAACCATCCATAAGGAAGGCCCGTGCCTCTGCAGTGGGGACGTAAAAAGGCTCCTAATGTAATTGTCAAAAGTTGAAGATCGGGGGTTGTCATTGGCGGGGTTGGGTACTTAGTGCATTTGGTATGACGAGTGGTCTTGTGACATGGCTATGTGTTTAGGGCGTAACGGAGGCAGAGCGCGAAGCGTTCGAGCTGTTGCCGGATGACGAGCGGCAGTGCGTCCTCTGCAAAACCACCTGCTTCCTGTCCTGCGTCACCTGTTCCTGCACCTCCACCGTCAGTTGCCTGCGGCACCACGCGCAGCTATGCACCTGCCCGCCCTCCGCACATAGACTCAGGTATCTACACGCCAGAAAAGGTTGACCCTTTATCGAACCGGATATAAGGCCAATTTAATCGGTTAACTATTTTATTTTTATGCCGCGTGAACAGGTTTAAAAGTAAATGTTGATTTGAAGTTTAATTGATTTATTTTATTAGCTTTATTGAACATATTCTTCATAGGATTTCGTCGACTTGTAACATAAATGTTACATAAGAAGTTTTGTCTTTTAGTTCTGTAAAATGGCATGTAACCAAGAAAATAGAAATGGTTGAACCGAATATATTCGGCATCAAAACCGGATAATTCCGAATACCAAACAAATATTTGGTGCATCACGACTAGGACGATAAGTACTCGCATATGCGGCTCGGATAATTTTTCATGGAAGCAACTGATAGACAAATTTAATTCGCTACTTGACGGTTATAATAATAAACTATGGAATATGTTACAATCAAGTACTATGTATACAATTAAGAAACTTGAAAGACGTATAAGTGTTTACGTCAGAAATCTGGCCAATTTTATAATTAACAGACAGGCAAACAAGAACGACATACATTATTAGATATACTTTTAGATACCGGTATACGTTGGACGAGTTGCCCGCCATGTTGGAGAAGTTAAAGAAGAAGTCTGAATTGTTCCGCGAGTGGGCCGAGGCGGTGCAGAACGCGCTAGATCCCGACACGCCCAAGACTTGCGACTTGGACGGACTCAGGGCGCATCTGAAGAGGGCGCACGATCTCAAGGTAATCTTCATTTATATCTGATAAAGAACTGATACGTTTCTTTCGCTTTTTCTTGTCAGCCAAAAAACAAAAAAAAAATTGGACTATTCAAAAGTGCTTTTTTGAACACGAGATCTTTAACTATATAACTTTTCTAATATATATTTGTTTATTTTATTAAAAGTTAAGCCGATTATACTTTAATGTGATGGATGATATTCATATAAAGCATTATTCTTATTATTAAACACAAAAAAGTATATTGTAATCGTTTATGTTTATTCCCTCAGATGCATAAAACTGAGCTGGTGAGAGCATTAGAGACGGCGATAGAGGACGCGGAGAAATGTGCAAGCGTGATCCAGCAGCTGGACCTGAACAAGATGAGGACCCGCACGCGCCACCACGATCCCAAGTACCGTCTCACCATACACGAGCTCACGCTCTTCGCCGCTGAGATAGACGGCCTCGCCTGCGTGCTGCCAGAAGGTAATTCATTCAAATAGGGTGGTTTCGATAGTTAAATTAAGTCTCTAAATTGTACAAAAATTCAAATTTACATTAAAATAAACATATTCTAGTTTTTAGTCATAAAATCGTATGATTATCTTAAAATTGAAAGTTGTGATTTCTGTCTGTGTTGATACACATACAAAAGTATCAACTTTTAGACTGACTGACTCTAAAAAAAACACGACCAATCATGGTGTGAGGTCGCTTTGGTAGCATCAGTCAGATTAGTCTTAAACAGGTACCTATCAAATGGTGATGTACTTAGCTTATCTTTAATTTTTTAGCCAGATCGTTGAGCACTGTTCTTGTTTGATTAATATCTTTTAATCTATTAAATATATAAAGTATATACTTTATGAATCTGTTTTGTGTATCAGACTTACTTTTAAGACAAGAAAACGTGTTAATTATTTTGAAATGTTTTTTGCGACGATTTGTGATATTGATGTATATTGGTTTGTCCACAGGTTCGGCAGTAAAAGAAGTATTGAGACAGACGTCCGATTTTGAAAATAGGGCAACAGAATTGTTGAGTGAAGATTTGGATAAGACTGACCCTGCTATCATCAAAGAATTGGAAGAGGTCAGTTTAATTTGTAATTCTTTTTGTTAATACTTATGTTAGTGTATTCGATTGTAACTAAATTATTAATATCAACTGTTTTATTATTATTGACACTTTATAAGTTTAGTATGAGAAGACATATAAGAAGGAGGTAAGCTTATCACTTTATAGCAATTCATTTAACCAATAATTATATTTTTATTTGTATTATTCTTCATCGGTTTATTTAATCCAAAGATTATATTTGTTATCTTTCAGTAGAAATGCTATGAAAAAAGCATTGTGAATAGAATATTGTAATGCTGCCGAAGTAGTTAGCATATTCGGTTGGAGATGCAGATTCATGAAATATATTGACAGTGTATTTATAATGTATCAAACAACCATTTAAAATAGTTTTCAGAAAAGCGTCAAATACCCTATAGTAAAATATGGAATATGTTGGAAATGGAATGGATTTACAATCTGAAGAGAGAACCGAAACGAGAGCGCCCATAACCGAGCGTTACATTTCAATAACGCTTGGAGATGCGGACGTTAAGCTACTCGAATGAGTTTTATAATAGCTATTCAGTGTTTCGGAGGGCTAAATATCTGGGTCATATCAGTCTTGAAAGACCAATTTTGTACTAATTTTGTTCGCAATGCAAATGATAAGACGATAGTCAGTTGAACACATTGTTTATTTATATTATTGAAACTACACTCATATCATTACATTCTAATTAAATTATGAAATGATAAATGTGATAATAACTAATTAAAAATAATAATATTTATTTCAAAAAATGAGTCTTCCAATTATTAGTTTTTGTGCCGTGTTACAGCATCTGCTTAGCGTCTCTTGTTGTAAGTGTTAAAGTTACAGTATTGGGGTTGCCTATTCGATTTAATACAAGTGACCTCAATTTACACTTATTTGTGATTACAAATTATCGAAGCAATTCCGAAAAAATCTATTCTTTCCGCATGGTCAACCTAATACGCCCATTAGGTTGACCATGCGGAAAGAACAGATTTTTTCGTACGACAATGATGATGATTGGTTTGGTGGTGTATTGATTAGGTGGTGGAGATGGGTTCGGCGCTGTGCATCGTGCTGCCGCAGCTGTCTGGTGTTCAGGCGCGGCTGCAGCAGGCGCGGTTCCTGGAGGACGTGCGCGTACACCGTGAGGACCCCGACACACTCACGCCACAGGTCATACAACGGCTGCTCGACCTGGCCGAAACTGTAGTGCCGCATTATAGGGTCGAGACTGAGAGGGCCACGCTCTGTAAACTTAAAGGTCTGATTCATTCAAACTTGAAGATAGCATATGATTCCTTTGAATAGTCAATATTTTTAATGGTAAATGCTTAAAAAATATTCTAATGAATGATTTAATTTTTATCATTCATTTATTAGATTTGGAATTCAAATTATATGTTGATTACGTCGGAAAATTTAAATAAATGTTTTGTGCGTAGCTGAAGTGGAGGAGTGGGAGAGGCAGGCGCGCCTGGTGCTGATAGACACGAGCAAGCCGCGATCGCCGCGCGCTGACCTGGAACCCTCATACACCACGCTGCAGGAGCTGGATCAACTGTTGGACACCGCCAACCAGATCCATGCCGCATTGCCCTCCGCCCATGCTTTGCGCGCCGCCCGCCAGCACGCCATGGACTGGCTCCACAAGGTATCACATCAACATGTGAAGCTACTGATCGCTCCACATAATATTTATATCTTAAATAGCTAACTACTAAGTACTAATACAACACACGCGCTACTTCCACGGAATATACAATGGGTACGTTCCGATATACACTGCGACCACTGAACAGTATGACGTCAATTTAGTATACTGGAAGCCCGTTCCTTTATAGCTAGTTATACTGGTGACTTTTTAAAACGGATCGCAGTCTAGTATACTGTTAATCCTATTTTTTGGCGCCATTTTCAAATTTGTTAATGCAAGGTGAATATAAATATAAAGATTCCCTCTTTTCAAAAGAAAATTGGAAAATTGTATAAAAAAAATATTTATCAATTAAATCCATCTTATAAATAAACGTAAGTATTTTTTTTATTTTTATTTAGAAACTTATCATTTTCTGATTCTGTTTCGACTGATCACGTGATCAAAAGCACTGCGAGCACCTTACCTCGAAATCTCCAGTGCTCACAGTACAAATATGGCGGCAATTTATGACGTCATAAATTTCCTTAGGGTACTGTAGCAGTGTACTGGCAGTCCATAACGGAACGGATTTTTCAGCAGTAAGACCACTGCGCAGTGCTCGCAGTGTATATCGGAACATACCCTATATTCCACGATCAAGTCGATCGCGTATCTAATGAAAATTCATACTGTCAACTGTCATGACTTCAAATTTAATGCATTTAAAGTTGAAGATAAATTTAAGCTAGTAACAACTTCATTGTTCGTAAAAAAAAGGTAATTAAAAATTGTAATTATATAATATAATGGATACTCAAATTTTTTAAGAAATGTCCTTACCTTAGAAGTCAGTGCTTCTGATTTCTGGTGATTGAAGTGAAATAACTTATTTCACTGCATCCTTGTAATAATTTTGTAGAAAACTCTTAAATATTTTTATTTATTTTATTTGATCATTTCACATTACTGAATTATACTGAAAAAAAATCTTAAAAATCCACTCGGTCCCTGGCACCCTGAGATAGTGCCAGGGATCCAGTCAGGTTCCCTTGTTCTACCTTCATTTTCATTAGAATATTTTTATTTTATAGATATACATGAAATATATCTACAAAAGGTGTTATTATCGGTAATAGTATATTAAACACTATCAGAAAAAATGTATTTATTTTCATTTACTGTCTACACCTGTATTCATTATGTCGTTGTTATTTACAACTACGCTAGGTGGAGGAGATGCAGTCCAAAGACCTGTACCCATACATGCACAGCGTGGAGGCGCTGGTGAAGCGTGGACAGCAAATACCACTGTTATTATATGAGAAGGATCAGTTATCTATCGCGTTGTCGTCTGCGCGCGAATGGAAGCGGGGCGCTGCTGAAATGTTTCTAAAAAAGGTTACATTTTTAATCATTCCAGCACCCAGCACTACAGTAAATTTGCATTCGTAACTTTTATCAATAAGTAAAAAGTAAAAGACTAATTTACCTTATAATTGTATAGCGTCGTCACGCCGCACCGCTATGTAATTAAAGTAAAAACAATTAAAAAGTATAATAAATTGTGTATAGAAAAGTGAGTGTGCACAAAGGGCGTTTAGTGGGTATGATGGATGGGTGCCGATGGAGAGTCCCACATAACCTGTGCCTGTTAAGCGACAGGGACAGTGCATAAAGCATTCCCTTACCATAAAAAAGTACATCAAATTCTGTCAAGTTACTGTTATCAATTTTATACTTTAGCGCGTTGTATATTGAGTTAGAAACAGATAGCGGAAATTGTGAATTTTGTGCTATCCTACTAACTGTAAGGACAAGCAAACCACAGTAATCTAATTCCACGGCGTTCGAATATATTTTTTTAAAGACAGTGTAATTCTAGATTTTTTTTTGTTGACGCAATCTTGATCCAATCTTTACCGGTTAATTTTGTCTGTGAACTTAGTTGAGTGTGTTGGAGCTGATTAATTTCTGTGTTTATATAGAATTGGCAGTACACGTTGCTGGAGGCGTTATCGCCGCGTACAGAGAACAGCGGGGGTGGGGGCGGCGGGTCGCGGCGACGGGCGCGGGCTAACGCGGAACCTGCGCCCTCGTCTCTGGAGGCGGGCCTGTTCCTAAGAAACTTCAGCGAGGATTCCACGCCCACAGAGATCGTGGCCGCCTTCAAACAGGCCGAGCATAGAGAACTCGTCGCCATCAAAGAACTGAGGTTCGTTATCGATCAATTGAACTAACAAAACATGTTAATTGGTATATTTGATATCTTCAATGTTAGTGATTTGGCTTGTAATCTGAACAATATGTAATAGGGGATCAGACAGCAATTACATAAAAATTTAATAGTATGTGGTTAAAATGTTCATAAAGTTTAAAGATTATCCGGCAAATATTTTTGATAAATAACAATTATTTATATTTTTAAATGAATAAACAAAAATATAATTTACCCATATCTGTAGTCTCTGTCGCACGTCAAATGAAATACTAATCGAAGCGTGATGTAATTCGTAACATTCAAAATGAAAAATAATCTTGAGGATGTACTTGATTTTTAACAGGGTACAAAGTGTCAATTTACTGTTTTATTTATTTATGAGTTTAAATATAAGTATTGCAGACTATAATAATTTTTTTTCACTGATAATCCCTTATGTTTCACACCAAAGACGTCACGTCCTCGGAGTCGCTGTTTACGCGCTTTCTTAAACAGTCAAATTATAAATATAGCTTTGGGTACATAATGAGGCTTAATAAAATAAAACAATATTGTTTATGGGTAAGCGCCCAAAATTATTAATTTAAAACACTTTCCAGAATTGTCTGATCCCCTATTATAATTTATATATTTACCACACTGAAAAATAGAGAGAGAGTATTACTGATCTTATAAAATGCTAATTCGAACGTTTTATTATGTATAACAGAGCACGTAACATGCGTAAAGAAGTGCGCGCCCCTCCATCTGCCGGCATCACGTTCTGCATATGTCAGAAGCGGCAGTACGGCGTCATGACGCAGTGCGAACTATGCAAGGACTGGTTCCATGGTTAGTGTAATGTATTGATAATAATTTAAGTGGAAATGAATTAAGGCGGGGAGGAGTAAGTGGACACACTCCCCCGGGTTAATCACGCACGCTACTAATTAGATAGTATTTAAATTGCAGTTCATTATGCAATAAAAGTATATACAAATTTTTTATCATTCAACCTAAGCTAGTTGTGGTCATATATCTCCTTGCATTCGATACACGTCACCAAATTGAATTTATTCCTACATTGTTTTTTCAATTTAGTTGTTTCTGTTGCAGCATCTTGTATAGCTGCGTCTAAAGAAGAACGTGACGAGTCACCCACTCGTGTGGAGATGCCTTTCGGTAATCCCGAGCCCAAATTCTTATGCCCGGACTGTACTAGGACGAAGCGACCGCGTCTGGATCGTATACTGGCATTACTTGTAAGTGTTATCATATTTACTAACTTTTACCTGCGACTTTGCGTGGAATTAATGTTTTCATGGTGTAAAAAAAAAAGCCATTTTTTTACACCATTTTTGTTGTCTTTGTAAAATAGTTTCCGAGATATAAAGTAACTTAAGTCTTACCCAGGGTTACATACTCTCCTTTTAAAATTTCATCTAAATGGGTTCAGCAACTTAATTGTCATAGCATAAAATAGACAGCTCGCATGAACAGCTCGACATTTATAATATTAGTAAGGACATTACTTATAAGCATTATATTATTTATTACTATATTTTACTTGTACTGTCTGCGTAGATTCAGTATTGCCAGTACATATTTAGATACAAAATATATGAAAATAAGCATAGTATATTTAAACGGGCTATCGGCGAACGTTCGCATGGGTTTATGTTAAAATCGTTGTACCGGTAAATTAATATCGTCAATATATCAGAATCAGTATCGGTTGTATCTCTAGTTAAAATCGTTGTAATAAATTATGATTATAGTGAGGTTCATATGTATGTGTGGTGGTGTAGGTTTGGCTGCAGAAGTTGCCGGTGCGCCTAGCGGAGGGCGAAGCCCTGCAGTGCGTAACGGAGCGCGCCATGGCGTGGCAGGACCAGGCGCGCGCCCTCCTCGCCGCCCCCGCCCTCGCCGCCCTCCCACACGCCCCCACACCCGCCCAACAGCCGCAGGTACACACCCACAAACAACTATCTATATAAAGCTTAACATAATCGCACACCTCAAGATAAATAATGGACATCGAAACACATCTGAAGCTGTTTTGTATTTTTATTTATTTTATTGTTTAATGGTAAAGTCTGTCAACATTTTTGCAATTTACACTCATATAATTAACTTAAATAATATGTATAGTGAAAAACAATTACAGGCAAATATAGTCAGTGTATATAGTTACATAATTTATAAGCAAATACGAAAACTACAAAAGTATTAATAGATGACAAAAATATACATGCTAAGTTTAGTATATTATATAATAAAAAGAACATTTTATTTGCTTGAAGTGCTAAATGGTTAAAATTTTAAAGTTGGTAATTATCTAACATAACACAGAAAATAAACAAAAAATAGCCCTAAAATCCGTACAAGTACAGTAAGTGCGGTCTCATTTATAAGTCTGTTACAGATAGTACGGTAGCGGTCATTCTTCCTGTTTTTAATACTAATTAAAAACAGGAAGAATGACCGCTACCGTGTTTAAGAACTATACTGTGCTGATATAACCCTGTATAATGTTTTGATTTGATGTATTTTAAAACATTTTATTTTGTAATTCATAACTGTTTTTCCGCGAATTTGCACGCGTAAATTATAACCTAAGTCAACCCATATGATGTAGCTTACCCTACATCATAATAGGTAAAAAAATTACCTAAATATGTCGATGCTTTTCTGAAACGCAAAGTTAGCCACGCCCATTTTTATCTCGAGGTACTGTAAAATCAAATAATTTTTTAATTTATGTTGAAATAATATAGTAGCAAGTGCATGCATACAACAGAATTGATAGAAGCGACTTACATTAATTAAACGTTAAATAATATACTGTGATTGACAGACTAGCAGAGAAAAATCGGATAAACTAAATGCAGAACTAAAAAAAGCGACCGGTAGAGCTCACGAATTGTCACAAAACTCAAGGTAAGTGTACAAAAAAATCCTACTGTCATTATTTAGTAATAACTAATATTATTAAAATAGATTCCATTTTTTTTTTATTTCAACGGATCAATTCAAAAGCTACTTGATTGATTTATTAATAAGACAGAACTAAATTTGCAGGAATCTGCTAGGTCAGAGATTTCTACACTCTTTAGTGCAAAAAACCGTGAATCTAAATTTTCAGAATCAGTTTTCGTTCAACCGTTGGGGTACGATCGCTTTTCTCTAACTATAGAGATAAGACATCTTAAAGATGTTATGGTAATATTTCGTTTCATTCCACTTTGAATGTGCACTATCGATGAATGAACGATAATTATGGATTTGACAACAGTGCTACCATCTTTGGCGTTTATCCACCAAAATAGTAAAATTATAAAATCAAGCCATATCTTATATCCCATGCAAGCCATAGATCATAACTAGAGGGTTAGGCGGTCGCACCTTATGAATACTGATTTCAATCCCAGGGGTATAACCACTATTGGAAAATTCTCAACTGAACATAAGTCAATTTGTTTAGATCGTCGGCGAGTACGGAACACGCTTATAGCGCTACACCCCGATCTCCTGGTACTCGTGTGGCACCAGGGCTTTTGCAGAAGTTAGAAGACCTCATGCTGGAAGGTGATCTGCTTGAGGTAAGTACCAGGTTAAAAATACACTGACAACATTTATTCATCATGGGACTGAAATATAGACATGTTTCAAGTTAAGTTATACGCATTATAAAAGTAATTTGTCTATTGTTTCGTACATTTGTACCTTTTATTCTATATGTATAATTTCTTGCATTGTTACGTAAATTACTGTTTAAGTGACTAGAAGGACCTCTTTATGCATATGCATGTGTGTTCAGTAGAACACATATCCCGGCTGCATCTGCACTTTTGCAGTTGATCATATCCACCAATCATCACTGGGCGCTCGCGGTGGGTCATAGCCTATTCGATTTGTGGCAGCAGTGGGTCATTAATAGGCAATTTCGGTGGTGTTGGTTGATATGTATGTAAGTATGTGATGTGTTTTGTAGGTGCGTCTGGAGGAGCAGGCGCAGGTGTGGGCGTGCGTGTGGTGCGCGCGGTCAGCGGAGGGGCGGCGGGCGGCGCGCGTGCTCGACGCAGGCAGGCGCAAGCGGCCGCCGCGACCGGCCACCGCACCGCACCGCCACCACCATCACAAGCGCACCCGCCCCGCCACCGCGTCACAACACCACGGTAACTAGACAAATACACACGTGCGCGCACATATGCGCGGGGACACACACACGCACACAGAGAGTGAGTAAGACGCACACACAGAAGGAGACAGAGACACACATACACACACACACACACAGACAGACAGACAGAGAGCGAGAAAGAGATATGTAAGTGCCTACAAAATGATTGAATAGATTTTGAAAGGTATAAAGTCTATCTCAATGCGCCCGGCAATGTATTAAGGATGGCGGGTTGAGAGTCAAAAGTTGTGAATTATATAAAAGTAATGCACAATGCTTTTTCCTATACAATACAATATTGTATAGTTTATAACAGTTTGACAATTGTGATATATTTCCAAGAATAAAATTGCTCGTTGTTAATACACGTTTTGGCTGTGATGGAATCCTAACATATATGATGTAATTTTGAATTATAGTTTTATTAGATGTTACTTCTTTGTACAAAGCCGCAGTGCAAAATCTTAATTTTTCATTATGATGTAAACTCTTTCTTAACTTCATTAATTTGTTTTCTTTATTTCGAACTTCACGAAGCCTTCTCTAACTTTTCATTATTGATAAATTTACAATAAAGACACCTGCATATAAGTTACATTTTCTACATCAATATAAAAGATTCAGAAACATTTAAGACACGTTATTTATCAACATTTAGTGTTAAAATCAAATAATATATTTATTTAAACGATTCACAGCAGCGACAGCGCCGAAAACATTAAAACGAGGCTCAGCCACCACGACGAATTATCTCAATAGAAAACAGGTGAGCATTTTTTACTTGGAAAATATTAATTTATATGGGTTAGCCTTTGTAGTCGACAAGCTATATGATCTATGGACCCGGTTATCTATTCATTTGATTTAAAAGTAGTTTCCTAAATATTATGGATAAATGCTCTTTAATTTATATATTTTTATGCTTTTTTTTATTTACTATACAGGGTTATTTTAAGAACCTCCCAGGACTAGATAATTAACATAACATAGAACAACTCTTCTTCTATGTATTTTGATATTTTGAGAATAGCGTTATCCTTTCGGTTAAGAATAAAACATAGACATGCTAATGCCACAATAGTACGCACGGCGATACGTCACGCAACACACCACCACCGTAAGCAGACCTCTTTTAGTATGGAAGTTCTATAAAAAGCGCGGTCGGTACAAAGTCTACATTGTATTGTCTGACGCGCAACCTATAACAATAAATATTAGTTTGGTTAAAAGTATTGAGTTATTGTTAAAAATCGAAGAATAAACGTTATTGTTTATGAAGTTTGCTATCTTATCCTCTTATATTAAAATCTATTGTAATCCCTTGCAAAGGTATAGTAATTGTGATGGGGATTTATGACATTACATAACTTTAAAGTCGCAATCGCTTTAGAATCACCGTGATTTGAATGATCAAAAATTTATAAAAAGTCACTTAACCCGTCGATAGATTGCATACAACTCTTTAGTTTGACATCTCAATAGATTTCGAAGATATTTTCGTCTTGACAGTTGCCTCAGTAAATAACAATTAACGTTACATTAACAATATCGTTCATTGAATGTCTTTAAAAAAAGTCGCGTTTGCTATCACGTATTAAATAGCTGTAGAGTGAAGTTCGTGAATATCTATCAAGAGTCAAATTCAATAGGAATTTCGATAGATTTTATAAATAGACAATTAGCCACCTGCTAAGTGTTGTTTGATGTATTACAGATAACCCTGTACACTTAAGAAGATTTTTTTTTCTTATATGATATACTTATTTTGTAATGTTATGACGACAAAAATTCTGTGTTTCTGATTTCTTCATATAAATCCCTCAATAATCGTAGTTATAGATAATAGCAAATGTGTATATACAATACAGGGTTTATCATCTGGTTCCGGTTTGATGATGCGCAAACATTACATGGCGCGGCAGGAGCGTCGCAAGCGAGGTCTGGCGGCGTCCACGCGCGGCAAACATCCGAGACAGACTCGCGTCGGTCAGTATATAATAGGTCTTTGTCTATGAAATTGCCGTTCTGCCGTTTTTTTTTGGCTGTTAATTCTAATTTCAAATTAATTTTATTTTAAAATATGGAATTCTTTTTCTAAAATCTTTGCCTCCCGTCCAGCTAATTTCTTCAAGAAGGGCATCAATAAACTAACGATGCGTTTTCAAAGATGCATTGATTGCATGGATTACTTTGAATAATAGAAATAAAAAATATAGATAAAGAATACGCTTCATTTATTTCATGGAAAACGCCAATTTCATAGATAAAACCCTAATATACGTATACGATAATGTAGAATACACTATTATTAAACCAAGTCAACATTTTCTATATTCAAATTTAATACAACCTCTTTGAAAGTATGATAGGAGCAGGTAGATCAGTTATGCGTCTTGCGCGTCAAAAACTTTTCATTTTTTCATCACGTTCTGTGAAAGATATTTCCTTAAAATCTAACTAAGTCTAAACTAACACTACTGAAATTATTATAAGTTCAAGTTCTTGATAATTATACTAAGTTAAAAGTCTTTTGCTTATAAGGTTCAAATTCCCGATTGTTTCAATACGTTTCTAATAGTTTTTATAAGTTAACGGTTTTTAAAGTTCACAGGTGCACAAAACCTGTTTGTTCCTAATTAAAATAAAAAAACTCGGTTGATATATTGACGAGACATTTGGCGGATAGGTCGCGGGGCGAGCGCGGGAGCGGGAGCGGGTGCGGGGACGGGAGCAACGCGGCGGCGACGCAGCAGCAGCTCTTCAGCGTCCTCTAATGATGACGACGACGACTGCGCCGCCACTGACTGCTTGAGGCCCACTGGTAACTTATATATCGATCATCACCTTTACTTAACAATTGCTGATAATAATTATACAGGAATAATTTAAGCCGCTGCGAAGATTTCATGTAAATAAACTAACTAATTAATTTAAACAAGCACGTATTTTTTATTTTTATATGTTCTAATACTAAAATATAAAGTGATCGCTTACCAAAGATGGAGACTTCAAAATTTTCATTTAATTGTCTTTTAATTTATTTCAAACACTAGTGTCACTTTTCACTTCACTAACGGTCAGTTTCACGAACGTCCATTAAGGTATAATGTCATCTTTAAGCGCTAATTAATCTCAAATTCGTATGGGTAATGTCGCTTTAAATTAATGAAATTTTTAATGGACGTTTGTGCATCTGGCTGTAAAAGCGTTATTAAATTTTATTGTTAAGTCTTCTAGGCTTTGTGCCTCCTCTACATACACCCGGCGTTTGACTTCTCCCCATAAGAAAGAATTCCACACGTGTGAACAATGCCTCATCGGTCCATAAGATGTTTGTATCGCGGTGATCTAGAAGCCACTCGCACAAGGCTCGACGTGGTACTGGGTCTAGGTCATGGAGCTGCTAAATCGGCTGAAAGTGCAAAACGGCTAAGCAACTTCAATACTGCAGGCTGGCTCACACCAAAGCGACGTGCCGCATCGTGGGTACTGGGGTTTCGTTCAAAGAATTCAAAAATTCTTTCTTCTAATTCACCCGCCAGGCGAGGTCTGCTAGACCCTCGTGCGTGCAGCCTTTGATTGGCTGCTAAAATAATTCTTACATTAGGGACTGGGGGTTACGGATCCCAAAGATCCCAAAGGCTCGCATATGAGGTATGCTATCCCTCGCATATATTCTCCGAGCTGCGCTTACGTTCTCACCACTCAAAGATAAACTCGTACCATCTCTTAAAACTCGCGATTGGTAAATTCTGATATCGTGATCACAAAACACAACATGAAAGGCGCGAACGGCGGGCACTGCGCTTGCGTGGGAACTCGAGGGCACGTCGCAACGTTGCCTGCGTATGAGTTGCCGGTTGCCGAGCGCGGCGGGATGCACGGAGGTATACGCAAGGGGAGACGCTTTCATTGAAGTTTTATTTAAAAAATGTGTCCATATTCTACCGTTTTAATAGGGATAAAAATATGTTTAAAAAATTCACAAATTATGGAAAAGTGTTCTATTACTGATACCGAATAACCATAAAAAATTATCGCATTAGAAAAAGTATTCCTGTATAGTTATTAAAATTATATGATTGGTTTACAAAAAATATAAACCATTTAGTATCGTTAATAGAATATATTTATCAAAAAATAATATTGGAATTTTTTATTGTTAAAAAGTCGTGAATGATTATAAATTTATTGCAATTCAATCTTCATATGTTAAAGTATGAAATTCCCGTTTTATTGTAATATGTTTATTGTATATGTATGATGTTCTTCTTTTAAAAAATATGAAATATTTGAATATCGATTTTCAATTGTTTTTGTTATTCAACTTAGGCTGTTTATGTTATTTCTGAATACGAGTTACGAGGCTGAAGTAACGCGGCACAAACAGCCCGCAATATTAATGTTTCTTTTGGAGAGGGGTCTCCTAATGAACGCACAGTGCGATTTTGGTTTAAAAGCTTTCGTGATGGAAACTTCGAGTTGAAGAACGAGCCACGAGGAAGACCGCCCACACAGGTGATTATTCAGATAAATTAAGAGAGGTGGTGGAACAAGATCCTAGTCAAACTACTCAGCAATTAGCGGCATGGTTTAACGTTACCTTACCCACAATATTGACTCATTTGCGTCAAATCAATAAAATGAAAAAATACGAAAAATCGGTGCTTAATGACTTGACTGGTCTGCAGAAAGAAACGCGTGTTGAATCTTGTGTTGCCTTTTTGAATCGGTATAGAAATGAAGGAATATTGGATCGAATTGTGACATGTGATGTAAAGTAGATTCTTTCTCAGCATGATGTTAATCACTTAATAACGGCAGATGTCTATTGTGCCTAACTCCGAACAATGTTGGCAAAACTAGCAGTAAAACAGCCCTGACTCATGAATCGATCTTCACCATTATTGCACCATGACAACGCAAGACCTCATATAGCAGGAGAAACCGTTTTGACCCTTCTGGAACTGCAGTTAGAAACCATTCGTCATCCTCCGTATTCGCCAGACCTTGCTCTAACGGACTACCGTCTTTTCATGATTTGGACAATTATCTACATGACAAGAAATTTTCTTCCCAGGAGGCAGTGGAATGCTTTCACACATTTTGTGCAGTCTAGATCCTCAAAGTTTTATCGCAAAGGCATAATTACCTACTTATTAGATGGCAGCAATGTATAGATAATAATGGTAACTATTTTGATTAAATAAATTAGTTAAAAATTAAAAAAATAACAATTTTGATATTCAGTACAAATCGGCAATTTCATACTTTAACCCCTATTAGTACAAGCCAACATGTACTAGCAATTTTCAGTCAGCGGATAAATTTAATCGCTCTGGCAATCAGTACGAAGCAAACTTTACAAATTTATGGCGGTTACTAATGCATTTAGACTCTTAACTGATCAATATCGAAGTATAAGCTTGTTTTAGTTTTGGTACTAAATGAGTATGAAACATTTTTGATAAGTTTAAATTAGTTCTATCATTGTTTTTTCATCTGTTGTCAGAGTTCATATGTGATGGTCCACAGTCTCCTTTGTTTGTAAGAGCTCAGCTCAGCACTGCGATTTTGTAAAAATCCAAACCCGAATTCGAATTCACTCAGTTGTCCGAATTATCTTCAAAAAGCGGCATCCGCTCAACCTTGAATTGATAATAACGTTTCGTGGCATAAGTGAAGTGAGTTTCGAAATGACATAGGAATAGAATATCTTAGACACTTTTCAATCAATTTTGTTTTGTATTTTTATATAAAGGACGCGAATTCGGACACATGAGTGAATTCGAATTCGGTTCTGGATTATTACAGACTCTCAGGGCAGAACTCTCGTACAAGTTACACGGCGAACGTCCACCAGCGGTATTGTAACTTAGTTATCCAACCAAATATCGCGGTTGATCGAATTCAGTGGACATAGTAGATAGTTGGTTTTTGCGCTGGATACGATCATGGCATGGCACGATCTAATGCTGAGTGCGTGATACAGGCAAGGTGGATTGGGTGCAATGCGACGGTGGCTGCGACCAGTGGTTCCACATGCACTGCGTGGGACTCAAGCGGGACGCACTGCAGGATGACGACGACTACGTGTGCGGGTCCTGCGCCTCCAAACCATCCCAGCCGCCGCCACACCGTTGACACAAAGAGGTATTATATGCCCGTATATCTATATATATAAAAAAAAACGCCATGTTCTATAAATTTTGAAATTAGGGTATTGTACTTTGATGTATTTTAATTTAAATAAGTTACATAATACGCACAAAATTTAAACTTTTTAATACCAATGAAAACGCTGGCCGCCACATTCATGACGTTATTTGGGCGCATAGAGTATATTTAAATATAGTAAATAGAAAAGCACACTGCTTTTTAATGATTTTGCTACAAAATAAAAAGAATAAATAAGGTAAGAACAGCGACATCTAGGATCTGCCTCATAATAAATAGGCTGCTGTTTATGACTAATATGACATGCAAAAATTTTCTACCGAAGTCACGTCATAATATGGAGGGTTGGGTGTTAATTCACGTGAAAACACAAAAAACTAATTTTAATTTGAAGAAAATCATGCGATTTTATGACTTATTTTTAAGTAACTAAAACTTTACTAAACCACACTAATATATTTTGCTTTCATACAAAAACAAAATTTCATTAAATGTCTCTTCTCTACAGAGAATAATTTACCGATGTTACTTACAAACATTAAATAATTTAATTGTTCCTCACCAGCCAGACCATTAGCTACGTGTGTTGCCAGTGGACATTGTCTTCGACGATGTCTCGTCCGTCGCCAGTGAATACTGTGATACAGTGACTGAGAAGTAAACAAACAAAACTGTGTGTTAATATGACTATTCCGGGACACTTAATGGGATTTTTAATAAGTGCGCGTTCATGAAATGAGTAAAAGTGTGCTGATTCATCAATAAGATTTGATGGAGTTTTAATCAAGTGATCTTTAAACAAAAGTGTCTAATAATAAATAGACGAGCTCGCCGAAGAATAAATTTCAAACTAGATAACATTCGTCAGAAAGGTGATAATGTTAGGTTTGTTTTTTTGTATCTGTAAATGAATTAATTTCGTTTTTGGTAAGAGCAGATTGAATTATATCGATGAATCAATTTTTGCGAAATTCTAAATCATAAAGATTTTAACTTGTTAATGTTCATGGTATTACTTGTCGATGAGAAAGTTATTTTTGAAGATAACAGCCACAGAATGTATATAATAGAAAGTGTCTGCAGAACTAATTACACCCAGATGAAAGTAAGCATTTTATTATATGCAGTAGCTTTTAAAGCCGGGAATCGAACTCATTCTAGTAGTTTATTAAAAATTATAATAAACATTTTCAGTGTTGTGTTTCAGTGTTTAAATTAGGATTGTTAAAAATAAATCTTTGATCCAACAAATCGTTGACATTAGAAACTCTTACGCAATAAATCTGAAACAAAATGAAATAAGATAGTAGTTTATCAGATATCTTACAAGGATTTCTTCACGTACAATTTCGAAGCTGACTGTCACTAACTCATCATTGTTATAAAATAATTACATTTTGTTTCTCATATGCCGCTCTGTTGTTTATAATTATAAAATACAGAAACATATTAACCAGAAAAACGCAATGACGAAGTGCAATAAATAGAAAGTGGTAAATACATTTATATTCATGTTGTAGTGTCCCCGAGCCCGAAATATCAATAATATCCGTATTTCTTTTTTGTTCTTATGGTGTTGCTAGTGTATGTATACAATTGTCTTTGTTTTTGATGAAGTAACTGCAAACTTAAGAAAATATATTCAATTACCGATTCAATGTTCAGTATAATATATTATGTGTCAAATTGACTGCATATATCCAATATAACTAGTTCACAAAAGACATATCTTTCATCAATAAAAAATACATGATCCATTTAAATTTCTTTTGGATAATTTTAAAATTCACTGTGTACAGTTAAGAACCCGTATTGGTAATAGTCGTCTTTTAGATGCCAATGAAAATGTTTATCTGCTCATGTTTGAAATTATTGAAGAATATGAATAATGACATTCGCTTTTGAATTACATCAGTAAGTTTTTGTATGCAATTTTCGCTTTTATTGTTAATATGTGAGGGATTGATATGTAGTATTGTAAACATAACAATTATGATATCAACATTTTTGTTAGATAGTGTTAATGATAGTTGTGATCCAAGTTCGATGGAACGATAATATGAGAACCCATATTTTTTGTAAATATTTTTTGGATGAGAATTTTTCAATATTAAAAATTTACTTAGAAGAATTTTTTAAAATGTAATTATAGATATTTCGAATGAGAAAACCTGCGTGAGAATGGATTGTAAGTATGTAGGCGTTAACATATTAAACATTTTGTACCTTACTCGTAAGGTGTTAAGTATTATTTTGCACTGCGTTAAGAACATTTGTATTCGAGACTCGTGTCGTTTTTTAAACGCTTCTTCAATGGTGAAGTGATTTCCGAAGTTTTATTTGTTTAGTTTAACTGTGTATTTGAGCTTGATGCAATAACAATTATTACCACGGACGAATTCATGAGCATCGCACTGCCCTTAAGTAAGGGCCCAGTAACACATTTACACAGTCGCACATCAGGCTATCTAAAAAGTATTTCATTATATTCTGAACTCTACTAACTTCAGTTTGAAGTTTAAAATCGATTAGAGAAATTGATCAGTATTGTATATCCTGATGTGCTGTTGACTGTATCCAATATAACGCACAAACAGCCGTGTTGATGCGTGCCCTTCAAACTATGTAAAGATGATCAGATATTTTGTTTTTTAAATAAAATCTGTAAATATTGTAGTTGTGATTGTTTTCTTTGTACATTTAGCGTCCCATGTGTATTTGCATTGTTAAATCTAAGGAGCTTCTTTTGACAGAACAGTGTCCGTTTATTGTTGTTCGTGTAATATAATTATTATTTGACAGTTATATAATAGTGTATAATTATTATCAGTGAGTGGAAATTTATATTACACGTCTACAGATCACGGGGTGAACTCGGAAGTTTTTTTATATTTGCATTTGAATGAAGTTATGTAGAAAGGGCTCATCCACGTCAACATTTAGTTTATCCAGGTCAAGTCGTACCATCTATCTTCTACTTTTACCTTTGCCTCAGTGCGAATGCATTGCGTTCAACTAAGACGTCCTTTTCACAGAAGCAATGAGTCGTCCAAGCTTAAGTGTTTAATCGGCTTGTATAACGATGCAATGTTTGTATTGCATCGATCAGGGATGGAGCAAATTTTGGATGCTTTTCATTTCACATATCGTTCAACGTTATGTCAAAATAGGGAGGAGAGTTAGAACCCATTCCTTGCTATGATTTTTCGGCACCCCCGGCATCTAATAGTCATTTCTTCTACTTTATGTAGTCATGTCGGGATAATAACTAACAGATAGGGTTCAACATGCAATGTTTGTTGTTTTAATCAATGTAAATTAACTTAATGAAGTGAAGTATAATAGAAAACCCGACCTAGTGCGATTCGGACTCGCGCACGAAGGGGCCGTACCGGGAACCAGCAATAAAAGCACGTTTGGTTGTATGGGAGCTCTCTTAATCATTTACTTTATTCGATTTTTTAATATTTGTTGTTATAGCTACTACAGAAATACATCATCTGTGAAAGTTCCAACTGTCTATCATGGTCCATGAATTACAACTCGGTGATAATAGCGTAGTTTTAGTAATTAGGTTGCGTTTCTTTTACTTTTCGGGAACAGAACACCAAAAACCGAATTATTACTTGAGAAAGAGTTATTTTTTATGAGTATGTGCTTATTTTCGTTAACTAACCTTAGACAAAGAAATGTCGGCTGGTCCCTTTTTGCATAACTACAATCTATTTAAGCATTAGCTCTAATTTATATGGATGTATTGCAATTTGTTTTTTGAGATTTTGTGATAAGATCAATTTGTTGGATAATAATGAACTGTATAATGAGTGTAATGAAAGTAATAATTGTCTATTTGTGATGCGAAGGCCTTATAGATATTTCCACTGATTTAATTAAGTTGCTTATTATTCTAAGCTTTGTGACGAAACTCTCGTAAGCCAAAATGGACTTTGTAGCATACCATATAAAGCTTTTTATTTAATGTACAGGTAGGGACGGTTTCGGCCGCAAGCCATTTATTATTATAGTCCAATTTTTTTTTTATTAAATAAATTAAAAGTTTGGATTGTTAATTATATTTAGTTACATTTTGACAATGACGTTTCTATATAAGTGTTGTATTTAAATTTTAGTGTTTAATAGTTTTGGAATAGACACTCGGAAATGAGATTATTATTGAATTTAATTAATTTACTACGATTAGGCAAATAATAAATTTTACATTATGCTGAGGTGGATTGGTTGGGTCTCAACTGATACAACCACCTTAGACGATGCCCCTCTCCTGTTTATTATAAAATGAAAAAAATAACATCGTTGTGGGTTTCTGAATCGAGTTAATATCTCACGGTATTCATTAAATGCCTTCCTTTTTTATTATGGCCGCTATACTACATGACCTGTAACACTATATCCCTATGGATATCACACCAATCTAAATCTAGAATTTTAATGAAAAATCTATTTATTTCTATTACGGCAAGCTATAGAATAGATAGTCAAAGAATTTATTATTTATGATTACTTTAACGGGTCTCCCACATTTGTTGTCATCAACAGGCCATAATTAATGAGAACAAGTCTACCTATTCCGATATTTTATTGATTATATAATATACATTTATTTAATTATAATATTATATACTTTTTTCTGGAAACAATAACATACTTATATAGAAATGATGTTGTGATACGGACGGCTATTTAAGATACGTGTTATTGACGTTAAATCACGCCACATTATAACTTCCTGATGTTCGTTTGATCTCCGTCGATTGGCGTCGGTTAAGATGTTTCTGCGATCTTACAAGCGAGGGCGTAGCTGTCGAATTTCAATGGTATATAGCGAATGAAAGCCTCGAACAATCTCACTGTGATGTTTTACATTTAACTTTATTTTGACCATCAACAAGCTTGGTCAATCTCTAAATAATTTAGAAAGTAATCTCTGATTAGTTTAAAAAAAAATTGTTATTTCCCTTATCCTACCAATTTTTGGTAAATCATTGTATATCTAAGTGAAGGCTTTAATATTAAAATATATTGTTTACTATTTTAATTGGATATATGCTGCGCCCGAGGCAAATACTATCTGAAACCGAGTTTATGTATGAAAATTGTACAGTGTAGTTAAGTGATCGCCTGTGCAACTATACTGGCGAGCCCTGCGGACATCCTGTACAGACTGTTTTGTATGTTAGACGAATAACAGATTAAATTATTATATATAATAGTTATATTGCCAAAAATTAGTAGTCGAACAAGCCAACATCACCACGTATGGTTGGACAGGGCGAAGCATCGTGTACCAAATAATATAGAATATTATAGAAAAATTAAATCGTCTTTTATTTATTTTCTATAAATAATTTAATTGATTCATATATTTATCTTATTGTGGCAAGGTCTGGTTTATCGCGAAACTGATGTGTATCAGTTGATATCGTTAGTAGAGTTGGTGCATATCTGACGGAAGATGCGTCGCTCTTAAAAGCAATGACTAATAAATAACACTTTTTTCAACCTTACATTCTTGACGGCTAATCTGTCGCGTATAATATGAAGCAAGTAAATTTGATACTTCAATTTTAAACTACAATTACACTACAATTTTAAACTTTACATAGTAAGGTGTTAATGGCGTAAAATTAAGTAATGAGCAGTTTCCCCCAGCAAACTTGCAACTCCCGTAAATACCTAAAAATCGTGTTTGCGACGTTAATTCTGACTAACTTCACAGCCTTACTTATGGTTTTAACCTTTACTTCCATGACACGCACGACTGATTTTCCGTCAGCGTTGTACCAACCCACGTTACATTTGTGTGACGAGAAACAGATTTCAACTGAGTAACGGAACACTACATCTTCTCTCAGACTCTTTTCTCTTAAAAGCGACTATCGGATCCATCTCCAACGACATCCTCGCTTCTCTCTCCTCACGTGCGAGCGGCCTCCCTCTAAACTCATCCTCGATCTCTTGCAAAGTACGACCCTTTGTCTCTGGCAGTAAGAACCAAATTACCACTAAATTGTAAAACAAAATTGCCGAGTAGACCACATACGTGCCGTGTAGACCGACACCTTCTATTAAACCGGGGAATGTCTTGAGAGCTGTGAACATAAACGCTGCCGCCGCCCAAATACTGATCATCCCGGCTATACTCTTGTATTCCAGAGGGAACACTTCCCCCGCTATGACGTTCGGTAATGGTACCATGCCTGTTGCTACAGTAAAGTAATTAACGTTTATCAAAATCACCGGTATCCAGAGAGAATTGTACGTCATTAAACCTTGGTCCTTCATGTAAGCGTATAGAGCTATAGCTAAGGAGCTTAAAACGCATAGACCTCCTGTTAGGAACATCATAGTACGTCTCTTCGTCTTATTTATGACGTAGATTGCACCAGCGTTAAATATTATCCTTTGGGTGTCCAGCACGATCATCCAGAAATGTACGTTAGCCTCTGGACCTAACATTAGGCCCAGTATCACAGTGGAATAAGCGGCCATTATTGTTCCACCGGCAAAATTAACCATAATATTAGCGTGAACCATCAGAGTGATCGGCTTATAAAATTCTTTCTTTCTTATGGTTATTAGCATTCTTCGGAATCTGTTGATCTTTTTATTTTCAGGCGTCTTAGCTTTTCTTATCAGAATTCTTGCTTGAATCATTTCTTCCAATTCGTCCTCTTCTTCGTTACCTCTAAGCCATCTGAACACCTTCCTAGATTCGTCGTATTTACCACGGGAAGCTAGCCAGCTTGGCGATTCCGGACAAAAGAATATCATGATGAGACTAGCTATAGAGAATAATACGCAGACGACGGCTGTCATCGTCCATGTCATGAGTGATCCGATTAGGTGTACGAAGAATATACCAAATGCTTGTGTGAGGGACACCGTGGTCAAGAAGGCTCCTCTGTTCTTGGGGCTCGTATATTCGCCGATAAGGACTGAACGCAGGGAGAAGAGCATGCCGAAGGATAATCCTCCCAGGATTCTTCCGATGAAAATAGTCTGGAAATAAACATACCCACATCTAATTGTTATGCGTTCTAACTAGTATATCCTAAACAAAACACTCATTCTTCTGGGTGAAGATTTGATATTTGAGACAGTGTATTATGTTGAGCAATGACTAACAGCTAAATAATAATATCATTTATTTCTTTTCACCAAACTTGTATAGTAGGTTTTTTATATACTAAAATTAGGACTATACATTCATTCAAGTGTGAAAAGCTATATATAGGAAATACAAAACTAGTTTAAATATAAAGTTCACATTTAACTTTGTGTGTGTGTATGTATTTGTGCATGCGTGTGTGTCAGGTGTGTGCGTAATGCATGTGAGTGCTGTATGAGCGTACGTGTTTGTGAATATACATTTATATATATACCAGGATAACTTATTTAGGAGTAGCTGATTAGCAATATGATAATTGTATTTTTATTATTTAAGGGGTATAAGAAGAGCTTCAGTGGATTGATAAGCTAATCCTCGAAGGTAAATTGCAACAGTTTCTCTACAAAGGGCTCTAGGAAGTGGATAAATATTTAAAATCGAATTTAATTTATTATAAAAGTACTTAAGAAACCAAAAAAGGTGGTTGTTCTGTGAAATATTTTGAAATAAACAGCACTTTTCCTACCTTTGTCCTTGAATAAATATTTATCTATCTACATATTTGGAATTTTTTAATCTGTATTATTTGTTGGTAAGGAAACTGTTCCGAAGTACCTATTTCATCATCATCATCATCAGCTTGTTACTGTCCCTACTGTTGGGAGTACAGACCTTCCTTAGGGATGGATTTGAATAGGGATAATGGGTTATGGTATACCACGCGGGTTCATTGCGGATTGGTGGGTATTAATGACTGCAAATACAGCCAGAACCGACGGCTTAAACACGCAGAGCTCGAGATGAAATAATTTTTGGTCGCTCATCGTATAACTGGCGAAAATCCACAACTAGTCAGCTATTGTGTAACACTTACTGGAAAATTGTTAGCGACAATTATGATACCCCATCCCACGATGGCTGGCAAGGTGACGGCATAATGGGCAATCTTTCTGCCGAAGCGATCCATTATTGGAGCGACAACCAAGCTCCCGATCAGCATCATAACGGCCGTTATAGATGCTGTAAAGAGTTTTATATTTATAATACCTCAAATAACTGTCTTTACTTATTATTAGATTATTGTATAACTTAAGTAGGTATGATACTGGGTGGTCCAGGCCCTATTCATTTATCCGCGTGAGGTTGCTACACTGCAGCGTATTTAATAATGTACGTTAACTACTATCGCTGGCTCATGGATACTTGGTACCCTAGGCAAAACATTGGGACGGAAATAAATAATGTACATATTGGTACACTAAATAAAGAATTTTGTCATTGACAAAAGAAACCCCTTAGGTACTGCTGATCTGAAAATTGGATACTTTTGAATACCGCGGAAATTACTAGTATATAATACTAGACTAAAAGTTCAAAGAACAATTGTAATTTTTAAGATACTGCAATTTAAAAGTTTGAGTTAGAGCATACATAATCTGTTTTCCATCCCATGTCGCCCCCAAATATCCAGGCGCTTGCCTAATTTGCCTATATGGAATATGGAGGAGCCGCCTCCGCTAACTAGGTACGCTTTGACCTTGTCCCTTTTAGGGAAGATTTGAGGTTTAAGGCATCCCACCACCCCGTGAGCAAAAAAGTGTGATACTTGGTAGTGATGTAGAACAGAAAGCAGCATTTGTGATTTGACACAATATATACAGCTACTAACGAGCATTAGGAATGTCATACATATTTCTGTAAAATATTATTGATTTTTAATTGAGCAAGTATAAATAAAAAACTGGATGCATTATTTCATAGTCACAATAAAAAAAACGCTCTTCTAAAATCACCAGTTACCAGCATTTGCAATAACTGGTGATTTATAAGTACCTATAATGAAGGTCATTCGTTACCTATCCAAGAGGCAGCCTGGCTTGAGATCGTGATGGTAGACTCGGGGCTTTGTAGCTGCGGCAACAAGATGGCTGGGTAGCCAAGCACGCAGCCTGTACCCACTATGTTCAGTCCCACTGTACATGTCACGAAGCACTGCAAAAACGTAGATATCAAAATTTATATATCTAAGTATTTGATTTGTATATCCTGCTATATCTTGATTGCAAACATGTCATGTGTTTTTCATGGTACGATTTTGGACCATTGTATTTTGTAAACCTAAAAAATATAATTTTATTGTAGTATGGCAATAACAGCTTAAAATACTTACTGACAAATTTACAAATTTCGTAACACACGATAATTATTTTAATATTATTTAACGAATAATTACTGTTACTTGTTTTGTGAGCAAGATAAATAAATAAAATAATAAAAACTAACTTGTTTCACAAATGGTGAGACTCTGCTTTCCTTCGGCATAATTCAAATACTTGCTTTTATTATCTGGAATTGGTTTTACGTTATTATCTTAGACATTGTAGAACCACGTGTTGAGATATGATAAAAGATAGTTATCATTGGTATTGTTCTGAAACTTAAAACGTTTTTCTCAATACGCGAAAATCAATTGTAAATAACGATAAAATTATAAAATTACTGTTTAAGTACTCATATCACAGATTTTCTCTATTTCAACGGCCGACGGCGCGTTAACAAAAATAAGCAAATAGCTAGTTTATTAATTGATAATGAACAAAGAAATAAGTTCAAATAAACCAATCACTATATTTTATGAAAATGACTATAATGAATACAAAATAATGCTACATGACAAAGTTACAAGGATACCTATATATAAATATTAATTATAAATATCAATTAATCAGGTTCTTCGTGTGATTCTTCTTTTTTTAGTTATGAAATCCTACCACTCATACACATCAACAATATTATAAATGCTAATTTGTAAGGATTTGGAAAACGGAAAATTCTAAGTCTGTATTTACATATTTAAAGGGTTATTTTTATCCCAATCAACTGTTCCCTAGGGATCAAGCCATCGTGTTTACTTCGCGGGTTAAAGGCGGTGGCGAAAGTTGGTCTGTAATAAATAATTGACACACAGGAAAATAAAGTCAAACACTCTTAATTACTTTCAAACTATTACGATCATTATAAAAGTGTTGCATAATTTTCTTAGCTATGGCTAAGGACGCAATAAAGCTCCGCGGAACACTACACTTTGAGTAAAACTGTTTTAAACTATTAACGCCACCTGTGGAGGTTTTATCGAGTTTGTTGGAGCATATTCATGCTTTTTTATTCTGCTTCGCCAGATATTTGTTTTATTTAGATATGAGTCTTCCGTTATTTACGGTAGACGTCGTTTTCAGTTGTGATTTGCGTTGGCGCTGATTAAAACTATTTAGATCAAGGCCATTTTTTCCTATTTGGATCCCGCCCCGCCTTAGTACGTATTCGACATACGAATGCATAAGTACAGGCAATAGCACGTCAGCTTAAACAAATATGTCAACTTTTTCCATCATCATCATCATCAGAATTTTTAAGCCCCCACTGACTCATGAATAGTTAACGTGGATGGGTCATGACTATCGAAGCTGGCCCAATGCGGATTGGTGAGTATTAACGACTGCAAATGCAGCCGGGACCAACGGGTAAGCGTGCCTTCCGATGCACAGAGTAGCCTGAGATAATAATATTTTGGTCACTTGTTTTAAACCTTCAAGTTAAGTGTAAAATTTAAAATTACCTGGAGAAATTTCACATATATACATAACTAGACGTCCAGGCTATTTATGGAACTATCATTTATGTAGAAAAAAATATTAGTATGATTTTATTTAGACAAATTATTTAGTTTATCATCGATCTAGAAAGCCTCGCGATACGAACTCTAAATCTTGTTCGTTTCAAACTTACGTTTAGTTGCAGTGCGCTCTGGGGTGCGACCGCCTAAGGGCGTTTGTTTGCACTACACTGAATTTTCAGGTCTGGCGGTCCGATATTTTCCGGTCCGGAATGACATGAAAAACCCGGATGAGTAGCTTGTGCATTTGTCTGTTTTTTCCGGATCGGAATGGCGTAGTTTAGGGCAGCTCTCTTTGAAGCTACACGTCACTTGCGCTAGGTACGATGAGATTTTTTGGAATGTCGGTAATTGCTTGCTATATTACTCTACGTGCGAAGACATAGAAGACAGAAAAAATATTGGTTTATACCCCTATAAGTGAAAGGTATCTAAATGATGTAAAATCATTTTACATAAACCATAATAAATTGGGGCAGGACGAAAGCATTTTTTTTTACTACCATCATATGTAAAAACTTATACCCTTACTAATTTAGGAACAGCATTATTCACATACAATAGCTAAAAAAATCTGTGATATTTGAATAAAATTACTAATAATGTTGTGGGACTTGATGTTTAAATTTATAATCGTAAAATTTTTCTTCGAAGTTTTGTAATAACAACTTCAAGCGATTACAGATTTAGAACAATAAGAACTATCGTTGACGCCATTTCTTTGTAAGTATGTTAATATTACAATACCTCAATATCCTTATTTCTCCCTGCATATCATTTATAGTCAACAAACTTACTTTCACTTTATACTTAGTCAAATTACACTTGATCAATCAATCTCGCATTATCTGGGAAGTTACGCGATACCTACATATCTCCGTTGATCCAAAAACCTTGGCGTTGTTAATTCCACTGTTATCTTTCATAATCAATGATATTCCTTCATATTGTTATCGTAACAGCAGCTGATATAACTAGAATAGAAAAACAATATTGATTAGGGGTAAGTATCTAAGATGTGTAATATTAATTAGGGTAAGTAAATTAGCGTAAAGAATTTTTTGAAGCTAATCTGGGAGCGCGGGTCATATCAGTCTTCCTTTTTAGCCTTAACTCATGATAGCTGAAGTCTGGTACTTCAGAAGATGGGGAAATTCCGAAAATGACAAATTACCACCAAATCAGGCATTGTTTTTTTATCAACTGTTGATAAAGCTGACCGACAAACAAGGAAACATATTACTTGTTTAATGTCATTTTTGGAATTTCGCTGCTTTCGTAATAACCTCACAGCGCCCTATTTAAGTTTGTCTCTTTACTTATTAAAATAAAAGTATAAGTAGGTATAATTCATGTCAAATCTCTGTCTCAAGGCTCTCGCCTTTTGAAGCCAAAATCTCAAAAAAATATTAAGTAAAACCATTTATTCTATCCGAAGAAGTAAAATTGCGATTCAGACAGAAACTCTGATTTTTTCAGATAGCGCTTTTGGTAACGATATTCCCACATTCGAATGATTTTCATTAATTATTTTATTCAAATTAAAAATATGGTTTATTCGAATAGGCTTAACTATTGAAAGGTTTTGAAATCGTCCAATGTCGTCTTTTGGCTGGCAAGAAGGTGTTCTTAATGAAAATTGCTTAACAATCCACTGAGATTAGATTTTTAAATATATAGGGTGTTTTCAATAGTGTGTTTTTATTTTAAAACGTTATGTTCAATATAAAAATGTACAAATTTAACTGACCTAGAAAAACAACGCTAAATTTCGATGTGTCATTCGAGGCCACGCATCACATTAAAGTATTTTCACGAAGTATTGCCGCCAAATACTCTATCCGCCTTAGTAGCCGATATCGGGCGAAAATCAAACTGTGACAAGTATTTTAATCTTATCTTTGCCTCAACAATAATCTTTAAATGAGTATTGAATCAGTAGTCACAGAGTTGGCAAGAGTCAGTGTCGTTTAGTTTACGTAGTGAGAATGGCTATTTGAAAACGAAAATGGAAGAAGTGAAAAGTGGAACGCGTTTACCTTTTTTGAGACAAGTAAGCCTTCTTAAATACTTAAGAGTGTCGAATATAGTTTCTTTGAGTTTAAATATCTTGGATTTATAAGACACATAAAAAAAAAACATTTTACCTTATTTAAATAATATAAAAAATCTTCATTTTGATGATTTTTCGCTATTGAAAAAAGAAATATTTTATAATTTGTTGTTGATAATTATAATTTTAATAATAATTATCAAAAACAAAACTACTGGACAGATTTTGATAATTCTTTTTACCAATTAAAAATTATATACTTAGTTTATTAGAAATTAAGAAGTTTTTTTTTAAAAAGATGTTACGAAGTGCACGTAATTAGTAAATGTCTTTACACACAAGTCAATATTAAAAAATTGGCACAAATAAACATGAAGTCTGGGCTGGATCGGTGTGCCAATTTCATTTGGTCAATGACAATGTTACATTTTATTACAGCCTATATCTATATTAATAAAAGATTATACGATATGTTTTAAGGTGATTGTACTATTGAGCAATACAGATATTTCAAAAAATGCACAATGCATTGATAATTAAAAATAACAACATATTATTTTGTTATTTTTAATCATCAAATTTAAGCTTTTTTAATATTAACTTTTTTAATTTAATTACTTTACTTCAATAGATAAACATAATTATAGTACTTGTGATTACGTAGGTCTTTTTCTACATGCCTTCTTCTGGTTTAAGCTACTGCGCCTTAATTTTTGAAAAAAAGTATAGAATATGTCTACGATTTTTTAAATAAATTATTTGAATGGAATCCACTGCGCGCCAGTCCGACATATATTTCGTTGTTTGTTTTCTTATATTTTGTATCAATTTACTCGTTGACTTTATATAATCTATAAATAAAAGTTTTAATTAACTTTAAAACCTTTTTTGTAACAACTTCGTTATATCGTTATGTATATGTCGTGGCCATATCGTAGATTTGCTCATTTCATAAAATGCTCGATAATTTCATGAAATGGTCGCATTTCATGATGTGGGCAACTAAATTTGATCAGATCATTAAATTGTCAATGTTTCACGATTTTGTCATCCACATTTGGCCAGATCATATAAATAGGGTGTCCATAAAATATTTAATAAAAATCCAGATTATTTTAAGGACTTATTTATTGTCATTTAAGTCAGTCAGCTGACACAAACAAAATTAATCAAATTTTTTAACAAAATTATACAAATTTGTGTAACATAATTAAACAAATTTTTGGAACAAAATTAAACATATTTTTTTATTAGTCTTTAGTTACTAGTCAATTAGTTATATATCTATTTTTAGAAAATAAACAAATATTTAGAAATAAGTAGGTATTTTGGTACAAAGTAATATAAAAAATCACATGGAATGCACAATAAAAGAATTAAAATTTAAAAATTCAGTCTTACAACCTTTCAGTCATTTGTTGGCGCATGACAAGCTTTGGTGACACTTTGAAGTACAAAGTGTTTTGTTTTTGAAACATGCGCATCTTTTTGTACGGCATTGATTTTTGGCAAAGAAAACATTGAACTTGAGATCCATAACCTTCTTCTCCATAAGCAACGCCACAAATAGCATGTACAGGTTTGGAACACAAACTACAGAAATGAGCTCCTTATGTGTCCTGACCACAGACGAGACACACAAGACCATCAGCTGACTCTAATTCCATATTATCTATCTCCATTACTTCAATGTTAGACAAACCCTCATCAGCAACTGATCCACTCAGTATTACGTCATCTGACGGCATAACATTAATTATCTCTTTGTTCTCTGCTGTAGAATCATTATGATTTATTTGGCCCGATTCTTCCTCCTTTTTCCCTTTCTGGTTGATTTGGTTCAATTCTTCGTTATTCTTCCCTTTCTGATTTATTTGGTCTAATTCTTCCTCTTTTTTCTCTTTCTGATTTATTTGGTTCCATCCTTCCTCCGTCTTGATTGATGTCATAATACTTTCAGGAATATCACAACCTTTTAATATAGTTTTCGGCTCAGAACCAAACAATGCACGGTAAGGAGATCTGCCAATAATGCGGTGGTAAGAAGAGTTTTTATAGAATTGAACAAAAAAACGACCAATGGACCATTTTGTAGATTTATTATCTTGCATCCAACATCGCAACATATTTTCAACGTCTTGATTGGATCTTTCCACGCTGCCTTGTGTTTGAGGACGTCGAGGACTACCGTGAATAATTTTGCATTCGGGCCACATCGACACCAATTCTTCTATAACATGCGCATTGAACTCTCTTCCATTATTACTTTGTAATATAAATGGAGCGCCAAATTCTAAAAATATGTTTAAAAGTTCCATCGCTACTTCTGCAGCTCTTTTTGATTTGAGTGGTCTGAGGTGTAAAAATTTTGTGGCATGATCTTGGTAATTCATAAGCCATTTAAATTCTCCACCCGGGGCAGACTGTAAATCTATCAAATCCGCCTGCCCTAGTGTGTTAAAATCTTTAGCAATTATCGGCTGCGTTACTATACCTTTTTTTGGCATGGCACGTTTCTTCTCACAAACAGATCACAGCTCAACAAATAGCTCAATGGGTTTCTTTGGAATATAAAGTCTATTTTTCATGTGTTGAATCATTTTTAATCGTCCACCATGTCCAACAGTTTTATGAACTTCCTTTAATATTTCAAAATACTTCTCTATCGGAATTATACGAATAGTAGGACCGTCGATGCATTTTTTCTTGAATATAAGATATTCCTCATCCGCAGTTTCCACAATGTTATATTTTGACAACCAGTAATAGTCCTTGGACTTCTTTTGCGTAGTCACCCTACTCTCCTTAATTTGTTTCATAACCTAAAAATTAAAAAAAAATATTTATTATGTCATAACTCACAAGCGCAGAATAATATCAATTAAAGCACAATACATTAGCTGGCATAGAGTATTTTAATAAAATAAGTAAATAATTATGTAATTTGAGAGTAAAGTACTAACCTGTGAAATGCGATCCAAACTCCACGGCTTTTTTACATTTTGGTCAGTTTTTGCGTGACTTGCATAGTACTCGAGAACCTTTTTGTTGTCACCACTTTCTTCATCATTTAACAACGAATTATTGTTTTTTTACTGCGAGAAACAACATTTTCGCCAACGGCCGCCATCTTCACGCATAAACAAAGCACCTGCAGCGCCTCTATCAGTAATTAATGTAACTACTTTACGATATGATCGGATAATCTTGACCATTTCATGAAAAAGCCACGCGTGTAGTCGCCCATATCGAGAAACGATTTCTTATCATTGATCTGCTCAAACCCCATCATGATGTGGCCAATAGACATAAAAACATTTCATGAAATGCGACCATTTCATGAAATTATCGAGCATTTTATGAAATGAGCAAATCTACGATATGGCCACGACATATATATAAGTTACCTTTCTTATTAATATTCATAACCCAAAAGGAATTTTCTATTCTTTGCGTTAAAAATGTAAATTGTATGTTACTTTAATTAAATGCTATGTTAATTCATATGTGAACTTATAAATCACTCGCACGTTTGCCATATTCAAATCAAAGATGAAACTAATCTGGGATAATTGTGAAACAAATCTTTTAATATTTAGGCGACATTTATCATCCTCCAATTAAAAAAAACGTAATGAAGGATTTATTTTTTGTTCTGACTATTGAAATAAAATGACTTGTGAAATCGTTGATTTGCTAACTCAAACTGTTTATAATACCGATGCTTATATATATTTATAATATAATACTTATAGAACATTTTAGCTATTTTGGTATATCTATTTATTCAGTCTAGACTATTACAAGTTTTGCAAAAGGCTAAAGTCTAGGCCATATCGGTAAATCTACGACGGGAGACCTTGTACATGTTTGCACTACAATTCTTAATGAAAAATGCTAAAAAAATCATCAGCCTCTGGGTTCGAGTTCCATCTCGATACCCCGTCTTTTGACAAATGAAAACTCATTAAGCATATTTCATTAAATATGGTTATAAGTATAGCATTATGAATACAACCGAGATGGGACTCGAACCCACAACTTTTGACAACAACTGAAAACTCATTAAGCATATTTCATGAAATATCATTTTTACTATAGCATAGTGAATGCAAAATTGTTCAAATACAATAATTTAATTCTTAATTCAATTCACATGCTGCGTCAAACACACTCAGTAATAATAATTAATTTCTATGTAATATACGACAGGTACCTGGATGATAGGTTTGGGTCCACCCGAATTTGCTCAATGGACCCTTAGAGGCTTACCCGATCAAACTCCACACTGTATCTCACATATGGAATGAGACACAGGGAGTTGTAGCTCTAGAATAAGTATTTTGTGTCGTAGCTGAGTCATCGGACACTTCGCACAAGGATAATGGTTCCGAAAGTTGATTGGGCTCCAACCCCTATAACAAAACTTTCTTATCTCGGGATCCACCTGTCAAAGAGGGCATATATATAATGTCTGATACATTGACGAATCGCCGATTAAGGACTACTCAATAGTTTGACCCATAGTTTGGGAAATACTGGTACGTATAAGATAATACCATACATATAGATTGCCAGCAAAATATCTATACTTATACTTATTAATTTACTTATATGATTTTTTTATAAAAAATTCTTTCCACGGGATTTAATAATGTTTTTTTGAAATATGTTTTGGTGATATCACCGAGAATTGTATAGGTAATAAATTATAATTTAACATTAAATTTTAAAATGGATTTTCCGTTTCATAATGCGACATTAACATTAAAAAACAATAGCAGAAAATAAATTAACAAAAGAATGTAACTATTTAAACTAAGTTTTTTACGGTTTAAATAGTTATAGCATTTTTTCGTATTAGTATTAGACATTCTAGAATCTAGATACCTATATTACAGTTTCTAACGGCATGATATTCAATCCCATATTTTTGAGAAGGCACGAGTGATGCAATTCTCTAAAATAAGTAATCGGGATGCGGGACAACGTCTTTGAAA